ATTATGACACGAAATTTTTATCCACCCCCTCTCTAATTTTTTTTCCGGAGATCTCATTTCAAGAGTGAGCGAGATGATTCTCCAGGCGCATCGAGAGAGATTCACCTGTATTAAAACTTGTTCATTTTCCGCGCTCACTCAATTTATTTGCGTCCATCCAATTTATTCCACCGCGCTGGATGCAGAACGTACCTTAAGTCGAGATCCCCACGTCTGTGAAAGAGTATACCAACCCTATTGAAACCAATCATGGAAAGCTTCGACAGCGTTTTTCCCTTGGTCCGGAAATAAGAAACATTTTAGATTCTTTGACGATACTCTGTAATACTCGATATAACACTCCGCAAAAAAGGAAAACATAGAAAAGCGTTTTCTTCGCATAAATTTCTCAGCTCCTTCGATTGATTTGAATATTTATACATCACTTTCATGCATTGCAATATTAAATCAATGAGAAATATTGCATTAAGGAAGAAGGAAACAGATGATATGCATCGATGTAAATAATTATTGCGGAAATATTGTTTTACTTTTGGCTATCGATTCAAGTTTACATCTTTGAGAGATCATTTCTTGGTGCATTTCTTTCATAACAAATGTATATCTTTTTCGTCAAATTATTATGTTAAATGCGTTTCTAGCCATGTAATCTTTACTTTTAACATTCATTGGCATTTTCATGCTAAATCTTTGTGTCAAATGCGGTACCATCTGTCCTTTGATATCAACTCTGAAGTCTCTTGTGTTCAGTCTAGTGTTATTCATATTAAGTAACCTCCAGTGACAAGTGACATAAATGAATTGTTCTCCAGGGCAAGACGCTGCGAATGTTGGCGCAAAACAAAAAGATGTCATTAAAAAAATTTCGCGTTGCTAAAAAGAGGAGATTATTCAAAGTTCGCGAATAATTTTATAAATAATATGTGCTAAGTAATATGCTAAACTGTTTTGCTGCGGGAATCATTTTAATATATTCTAGAATAAGCTTCTTCGAACGGAGAAAGCTTCTTTCTCTCTTGAACCATTGATGACTATAATTCAGTTTTCTAAATCGTTTATTTTTTAGATATTTAATATCGATCTCGTGAAAGAAGAATAATAAAATTTCGTGAAAGAAGAATATTAAAATCTGATGAAACATTGAATGCTAATAAATTGCTCTGATTTATACATAAGAGAAAGGTTTGATAATAAAAGCGAATATTATGTTGTATATTTTGAAGAAAAGTATATCCCATCACTTTGCATAACAAGATTCCGACCAATATTATTCGTTGTTTACAGGTATCCTGTAAGTTTTATCATTGTGCATCTCAAAATATCTCTGGCTCAACGGGACTGTTAAGATCGAGATCGATATCAAGCGAGTTCGGCGATACCCGGGTATCGACACGGTTTGTCAATCGCAGATGATCCTGCACCACAAACGAACCGCGTTTATCCCACGCTTGTGCTGTTGCAAACACCGCGATCGATATAAGAGGAGTTACGCCCTCGAGCTTGTTGAGCTTTGAACGGTAGAACGTTAAGTTACTTCCTTTGACAAACTGAAGGAAATTTACCTATATACTCTTAGCTCAACTATGCTAAAAACAAGACACTCGCTAGAGATTTAGTAATTGCTATAATACTAAGCTGTACTTTAACTTAACACACACGATAACACATATTAAGAATACATGGGATTAATGCGTATAAAATAATCCTTTGAGAGATTCTTTTCTCCGGTGATCGATGTAATAAAACTAACATTTATATTTTACTTATAATTTCAACGTATCAAACATAAAAAAATATTTTGTTGAGAGTTTCCGTCGTAAATTATTTTATTATTAATACAGTAGTAAAGTAATTCATACTATTGTGATTATGATTAGCATTATAATGTTTATATAATCATTATAATGATTATATAATCATAATTATTATAATCATATGTTATCATAAATTGAAACTATTAGAGCTATAAAGGGCCGCATCAACATTATAAAATAACATCATCATTATTACTTCACGTCATTTTATTTTACAATTATTTTAATTAATTATAATTCTGTCTGAACTTTTTTCACGGTTCTATACTACTTGCGTATGTAAATTACACAATTATAAGTGGTTCCATTCGAATTCAATGAGTTCTTTCAAAAACAATTGTTCGGGATTTTTTTAACGAACTCGATAAAGTGAAGGATTGGATCAAACAATCGACAGAATTTCTTGAACGATCAGCAGTTACGCGTCTAACTTTCGCGAACGTGTCGTAGAAATTCGTTGGCTAACTCAATAAAACTCTGCTCTTGTGCCATACAAGCATCTAATGCTGCAGCAGCCGTCTAGTTTAGTTTCTTAGCGAAATTCTTGGATGCATGATCCGAAACTTTCCCTTCTTCTCTTCTTCCTGTCTCTTTCTCTATTTAACTTTTAAAAATAGCACCACTATTTCCGAAAAACCGATGCCAATATAAAGGTATTTGCGAATGCAAGCGGAAATATTTACTTTTTTCGAGATATTAAATTTTTCGGTAACCGAACAAAGAACTAAAAAATGTTTTAGGAAATAGATTGCGTTTAATAGATTCGGAAGACTTTTTTTATCATCGATGATATTTTCAGCCAAACTTTTATTTTGGCTGATCTAAAATTGATATTTTATATTCAGAGAAAATGGAATTTGATATAATCTTTCTCGCAACTGTTTAATTCGAAACATTAAGTATTTTGATAACTAAACTATCGCTATAATACTGATCTCTTCTGGTGCAGTTTCTGAAATAATCTATTGTGCTATTGGAAACGGTTCGGAAACTATTATGTGAAGAAATGTGGAGCCTATATATTGTTGAGCCCCAGACGCGAGAAGAAAACGTCCTCCCCGTGTGGATTTTCCTTCCTGCTTCTTATAAACGTATCTTACATCCACCTTATCCCATCCCTTTGTATTGCACAGTCCCGCTGGATACGCCATTCGTTCTTTCGCTTATAAGGTTTCGAGTATAGGCGAAACTCTTCAATAAAGGCCGCATTTGCGTGTATAGTGCATTCCGCAAATAATTCAACTTGCTTTGCATGACTTATGCGATTCGATATCGCGATGGATCGTGAACACGATCAATGTCAAACAACATTTTTGTTATTGATTAAACTTTCGCGAGCTGCGTCGAAAAGAATTGTGTTTTCGAAAGAAATATAACTTTGCATCTTTCGGAATTTTGAAATTTGGTGCATCTCTGTGCCGCGCATTTGCATTGCACGTTTTGTTTATTTTCATGCACGTTCTTTATGTATTTTCGAAGTGACAAAAATCACGCAATAAAAATCAGTGATCCAGAACGAAATACGAGAGAAAGAGAGAAAGGAAAAGAGAGAGAGAGAGAGAGAGAGGGAGGGTCACTGTACGAATTCATGTGGCTCACGAAAATGAGTTTTCCATGGCTTTGCGGAACTATCACAAGCTGGGATTTTCACGAAATATTCGGGGAAATTGCTTTGCGTTCAAAAGCTTCACGCGATTATGGCGTAAACTCGTTCATTACAGCGATATTCGCGCGAGCGAAACTAGGCGAGCGCGTTCAAAAATTCGATCATCCCGACGTATGTCTCGCGTGGTCTCGCGTAACTTTTGTCGAAATAGAATCCACCGCTCTTAGACTACATTCGCCAATATTCCTCTGGTTATCATGCCGAAGAACGAAAATAACAAGTCTACAAGTAGTTTATAGAATTTTCAAACTTTGTAGAAAAAATTTGTTTTTTGCTAATCTAAATATACCGATTTACATAAAATGTTTTTCAGAAATTTTTTTGAAAATATATATATCTTCCAAATTGTTAGATATGTTATTTAGAAGCGTTTATTATAAATCATTTTTAATATCCAACTGATAATTTATAATTTATAATTAATAATGATTTTTTTATATATTTCTAACAATTTATAATAAATAATTAATTTCAAGAATATTGAAAATACTGTAGAAATTCTCTCGACAAAAAAAACTAACTCTTCACCTTCATTTATTAAACATCTCCATAAATATTTCAATATTCTTTTAAAATTGTTTATAAAAGATAGAAGAAATTTTCTAATAATTTATTTTTTATTTTTTATTTTTACTTGTTGAAATATTTTTATACTTAGGATATATACCAACTCTCTCTCTCTCTCTGTTCTTAAGAAAAAAGGAGAAAAAGAAAGAGAAAAAGAGACGTAGAATCTATCCTTTTTTCTCAGTTTTGCGCGTCGAGTTACTCCGGAAAGATATCAGGAACGTGCAGGAAGTAGGGTTCTGCGCGATGACAGCACGAGTGGAAGAGATCGTCGTTACGTCCGCCATGAATTTTCATCGGACGACGAGGCGAGTCCGCTTCGCGGTGAAGCGGAGCCTAACTGATGCTCCCGCGCGCGATTTGCATAAAATGAGACCGGACAGGATCCGCAGTTCCTTTGGGACGTTTCCGAGAACTGCCGTTCCATTATCGGACCGGGTAGCGATCCCGGGACTTTAATATGCCGTCGGATAAGAAGGGCAACGTTAACTCTTTGACCCCGACGCTACCTTGCGGCGAATGCACATCACGCACGTGCTTCCACGGATTATGCTTTTACGATTTCTGCACTTAACGTAGGAACGCTCGGGGTGCATATTCATGTTAGTGAGATGGTATCGCGAAATACTACAATTTATTATAATCCTGAAAAAATTATACCTTGTTAGCGTTTCTAGATTTACAGGATTGTTTTCTCATACTTTTATTATGTCGTGTACAAACGAAATATACTTGATTTCTCTCGAGCTTAATTAAAAATATGTTTCTCTCAGGAAATATTTTAAAGAATCAAACTTCTCTAACAATGTATTGAATTTAGAGGATATTATGTAATTAATATTAATTTGCGACTAATTATTACTGTATTATTTTTGTATTAAAGCTCTTGATCGCGAAATGGAAGGAAGATAATGGATTAAAATTTACACAAAGACAAAGACAGTTTGTGTAACTCCAAAAAGTTTATTATATTACACACATGTTACATTCGTACTGACACTTCGGATAAAGATATTTGAGCGATGAATTCAAAGAGTTTAATTTCAGGATCGTTGAGTAAATCTCGCATTTTAGAGATCGGAAATCCTTTGAGATCCTTTCAAACGAATGTAGATGATACTAAATTAGCGTTAATTAACACATACTTTGATAACTTTGCGCGTCGTCCAAAAAAAAAATTTCGACCTTACTGTAAATTATACGCTATTTGATTGATTATTCTCGCATCTCATTTTCAGGAAATGTATTTTAAGAAATGCTAATTCAGGAGTAACTTGTTTTCAGGAGATCTCGATGACACCAAGATCGATTCACCGAAACATTGTATCGACGAGGAAAATCAGGACAAGCAGAACGAGCCGTCTATTTACATCGCCGGTGCCGCCATGTTGCATCGCAGCGGGATGCTCCCCTGGAAAAGAAAATTACATCAGACGGTTAACATGTCGCTTTTGTGTCCCTTCGGATCTTTACGAGCCCAATCTCGTCAATCCTCTTCTCGACCCGTTAACAAACATTAAATTTATTAACGGCTCTACAAAAGTGGCAGCGGGAAAGGAATTACGCTCGAGTATCCTCAAAAATATACGGATTATCCCGAGGAGAATAGATGATATTATCGACGCAAATAGGTAAATATATTAACTACTTTCATTATTAAATTTTACAATAACAATACTTATTAGAGACATAAATAGATGCGATACTATATTAGAAATTATAATTAAATAATGTGTTCACATATCGCCACTAAATAATATATATGATCGGGAAATTATTCATTATATATCTTGCAGTGAACGAACGCAACGTTGCATATTCATTATTGAACGATAAATTGTGCGTCTATACAACTCGCTCTATCACAATATTAAATAGTTACAAGATATAATTAATATTTGAACAATGCGCGCGGGCGGTATTATTTACAAGGGTATTAATGCAATTAAGAGCGCGAGAAATCTGAGTAAAACAAATATTCTCCTTATTGCAAAGTGCTCGGAGAATAATTCCGTGACGTTACGCTTCGCTCGCTCGCTCGCTAAACGAAGAGAATTTCGAAATTAACTGTCGCAAATCCTCCCCTCTCCCGCCACCGATACTGCCACCGCGATATTTTGCTCACCGTTTAGTACGTGCACCATGACGCTTGCCGGGGTGACTTTGCTCGAAGCGCATGTATAATTACCGCTATCGTTAAATTGAGCGCGCGTTATTAGGAGCTTGCTAGTGGTGCCCCGTTTACCCTTCTCGGTCTCCAGCGATACGCCACCCCTGTCGAACATGTACATAAGTGAGAGTATTACCCGAGCTGACTTGCGAAAGTTTTCGCAAGCCAAAATCCGCTAGAATCTAAAATTGATTAAAAAATTCGCGCGTGCTTTTTCTCGCTCGTTTTTACATCCAAAAATTGTAAAAAAAATGTCTTGCTAGTGTAAATAGTTTTTTAGATGTTGCAACAAAAATTTTTCGTTATTTTTTGTATCTGCTGAAACATTGGGACATGTAGAAGTTTATTCTAGCAACAAAGTTCTAGTTTTATCTTCTGGTAAATTTAAGTCCCATTGTCAAATAAATTAATCACATTGAATAAATAAAAGTTTTGATACTACAGCTAGAACGATCTTTGTGAGAAACGATTCTTCTGGTGTACCATAGTTAAACTTTATAATGAGTACGATTAACTTTAATAATGGATAAGCGTTATAGAAAGATTTTCTTTCTAGATTTATTAATAATTCACATGAAAATTCCTCTATTACTTAGATTGATTGCAAAATATATGCAATATCATAATACTTGCTAATAATTTATCTATCTCGATTAATTTTTCGCATCTAAAAAATTGTTGCGGGCATTTTTTCGATTGTACCAGATGCTTTGTCTCGCAAAATACTCGCCCCACATCGCAATCCGTTACAATCGATTTTCTTCGCTGATTGCGTTAAACTCTATTATGTCTGCATCTACGTCGCGGTAAAGCAACGAGTTTTCGCAGGGTAATGGAATTGTTTGTGCAAATTATCGCGAAATAACACAGAAATAGACGATTCGTGATATTGTAGCTTCGTGACGTGACAGAGATAATTTCGAAGCCAGCGTAGATTACTCTAATTAGATCTCCGATTTGGCTCTTTGTTCCACTACGCGTGCTTGCGTACGAATGCGTGCAACAGACGTAGTTTGAACAATGATTCCATTCAGCCAATCATACATCACAAAGTATAATAGACATCTGTTTATACCTTGGACCATCGAAATCGATCACCGCACCGGCATGGTACCAAGTCACGTTGCTCGGGGGCAAATCCTGCAGTTCTATGATACAGGTCAAGCTGATAGTGCTACCTTTCTTGATGTATAGTTCCTGGGGACCCGTGATCCTCGCCTGTATATCTGATAGAAACAATAATAACGAGACGAGAGGAGGAGAACATTGTGAAACAATACGACGTTGTCGCGATTGGCTTTATTATATTTAAGAAACGCGCAGGAGGGATCGAATTATTATCTGTTTCGGATTCTATCCGAGAGGTAGGTTCTATTTTATTTCAGATATCTATCTCAGTGAATCGCATCGTCGGTAAAATCGCGACAAACCGGTGAACAGTGAATAGAGTTAAAACACAATTGGTTTCTAACAGCCCCGCGATAGACGCTCGGGGAGATCTTTAAGCGCGATTTATGGGGAAGCAAGGCGCGCGGACGAGCCACCTCGCCTCGCAGAAACTTACCCAAAACCTTCAGAGCCACGGCTCTATATATCTTCGGTTCCGTATTAACCTGACACTCGTAAATGCCGGCGTCCCGCGGTTGCACGTAATCTATTTGCAGATTCCAGTCGTCGGTTTCCGGATTTCTGACTACCGTAAATCTCGCGTCGCTCGTGTAAGTCGTGGACATAGACGTCAAGATGTGTAGGTCTCTTTTTCGGATCCAAGACACCTGGGATTATTACGCACGGGGAGGTTTCCCCCCCGAGTGAGATATAAGTAGTTTGTCGTCAACCCCTTCGCTGCTGCTGAATCCGTTTCGTCGTTTCGTTTTTTACCACGCATTATAATGAAGTCGATCCCGAAGAAGAATACGAGAATTTACAGACTCAGAGATCGTATAAATTGACAACTTCGAGGAAGAAAATTCACGCGGGTTATTAATTTTCACAAATTTTGTAATATTGGAAGAAAAATGAAAGGTACCCTGGATCTCCCTCTTTCTTTCTTTTTGCAAGAAATTTAAGATCGAAGGAAACGAACATTTCGTCTTTATGATTGCGCGGAATTATAATAACGGTGACTCATTCTTTGAGAAGAAGCTTGAGCGGAAGATGAGAATATTGATTCTGAGGGCTCCCAAGTCATAAATGATGAAAAAATGCTGAAAATGCTTCTTTACTTTCTTTTGATATATCTTCCTTATCCTTTTCTTATTAAGTTACAACAGATCGTAATACTATAGAAACTTCTATTTTTTAAATGGAAATTTTCCAAGATAGAAATTTCTATGGGATCTAATAAACGTCTAATGAACACGCTACGTTTGACTTGTCAGCAGCGAAAGGGTTAATGCGCGTTGCGCGAGCATCTAAGTTATTGCAGCACGCAAACCGCCTTCAAGATCGATGAAATTAACAAAGCTCGGAGAGATAACCGTGTTAGAGCGAAACTCACAGTTCTGTTTCCTAAATTCTTAACGCGACATAACAGCACGGCGGCCTGACCTATGGCCACCGTTAATTTTTGCGGCGTATCTTTGAAAAAATGTGTCTTCCTTGTGCCGCGCTGCGATTTTTCCCCCTTTCCAAATGTATCGTTGTTGAGATGCAAAAACGCTGAAATAGAGACAAATCGTGCTGAAATTGCTGAATTATTATTCTCGATAATGTTTTTATCGAATTTTCTTTCGGCTTGAAATCTGATAAAAAATTTAAAATTTCACTCCAAATTTTTCTATAACATGCATTATTGTTTATAAGCTTTATACGGATATGTATACGTTATAATTATTACAGAAATTACATAGTTTAATTAAATTAATATTTAATAATTAAATTTAATTAAATTAATATTTTAGATGTGATGTATGCTATTTATCAATCTGATTTGCGCATGTTTTGTTTACTTATCAAGCTCATGTTTTTAGCAGCAAATATTTTCTCTCGATGAAAATAATATATTTTTAATAATTTTTTGTAAATCTTGTTGAGAGCCATACGTATTTATGTATATGCGATAATGGGATTGCTAGGAATATTTCCGAAAAATGAAGCAGTAATTCGATATTTTTATCGAGAAATTAATTCACTATTATTGCGATAATGCATTTAATTAGACTGTAATCCTCGCTCTTTGAATATTTAGATTTTATCTCATAAAAAAGTTGTTAATTATTCTTTATTCGAGAGCTGTTTTCGCTCATAAAGAATGTTTCTTAATTATTTCATTAATTTTGCGTATCTAATTGTAAAAATTACATGTAGAATTTATTAAGAAAGAGAATATAATAATCAATTTTATCTCGATTTATCAACTGTAGTTATTTAATAATTATTAATTAATCTCATTTTTATATCTACATTCCAGAGTATAGAATAAGATAGAGAGAGAGACTTAATTAAATTTTACTTAATTAGATGATTATCAATCAAAATATCTCGTATTTATCTTTCTTCCTTTCCAACTATTTGATTGAAAAAGTTAATACATTGTAAATTAATTTTGTGAAAAATCGAATCTTGATAATCAATTATAGTCATCTTTACAATTTTATTAAAACACGTATTTTTTAGACGAGTAACTTGAGATCGGTATTTTTCAAATCTCGCATTTTATCTACCTTGAACAGGGAAACAAATTCGATAATAAAAATGATTTACAGCATTCTCCCGTGTTTCACGCGAGTGAAATTACTTGAGTTACAACGAAAATTACGTGCCGTGACGTATAGAGCAACACAAAGCCGGCGATATGAAAAACGTCCCGGGGGCATTTCTCAGGGTTTCACGGGAAACACGGGACATTTACCGATGCCGCGTTCGCCGTAAAGTGGTTCCGCGTGTAACAGGTATCCGATTCCCAGGAGCAGGAGGGCCATGCCGTGGAACGGGACCATTTTTCACTTCGCACTCATTTCTCTAATCTAATTCACGCGCGCCGATCTGCGTCTGACAGCGACCTTACCACCACCGTCCGATACAAACGATCACTTTCCATTCGCGGTCCTTCGAAAAGCACCCGCGGGATCACGCCGATCATTGGCATAATGGTCACCTCACCCTCACCCTCGTTCGCGTCACCTCACATGCGGAAACGATTACAGCGAATCGAGATCGTTGACGCCGCTTTTATGAAGAAATACCGCGAACCATAATCCATCAATTTCACGGACGTTTTATTACGAAAATTATAATTATGTCGAAAATTATAATTATTAAAAATATTGTCACATCAGAATGATCTCAGTGATCTCTTTAATTCGACGTCGATCGTCCCTCTTTTAATCCACGCGACTTGATCGCGCGGAGGAATCAAAGTTCGGGGCAACGCGATACGGTTGCGGGCCAAGCACTGAAATTTCCTCCTCGCGGAGGACACGAAAAAGCCCTCTGAAATCCTGGCACCGGTGGCGCCGTGCCCATTCCACCGAGGATACGTGCGATTGCGCCGAAAGGTCCTCCGGCATCGGATATGATTTCCCTTAAACGGAGAGGAGACGTGTTTATCCCGCGCCCGACTATCGCAATAGCCGTACATTATCGCGATTTACCAAAGCAATCGGTGTGTGTATGTATACCTTCCCGGAGTCTCCTTCATCCTTCCCCTCTATTCCCTTTTGCAAAATGTCCGCGGATAAAGTGGTTTACGGCGTATTTGCTATTCTGCTCCTCTTCCGAGGCAATTTTCTTCCGCGCATAAATAAGGAAATAAAGGATAAGAGGATAAAATTTCTATTTTTTCTTTTTGTTAGATATATTGTAGTAAAATTTGTCGAAAAAAAACAATGTTTTAAAAATGTATAACATATAACTATGTAACTTACAATATATATGCATATATGTATATTTTCGCGCGCTCAGGTCTCTTTCGGTAAACAGTTTTATATAAATAAGGAAGTACCGCATTTTGCTCTAAATTTCTTTTCGAAAGTTAATCTTTACAATATATGTGAATCCTTTACTCTTATTCCGCTTTTATACAATAATTTTTCTAATAATTCCGTTTTTAATTTAAACAAATATATATGTACATTTGCTTAAACCTAGATAGATACATTTTCTGTTTACGCATAAACATTTCTTTATTACGTTTTAATATATGTAACAGCACCTTGTTTTATCTATAATTTTTATTATCTTTTTAAACCTAAGACTTTCCCCATTTTATCTATTAAGAATGACTAACATTACCTTAGAGAGTCTATTTAAATTATAGAAAAGAGAATTAGAAAAATTATTAAGTATCATTGAAATAAAGGGAAATAGAGAGAATCAATTTTTATTAAATGTGTATGTATTATATGTGTTCGTATAATAAATGATAAACTGTCTTTGCATTAATTACACGCACATAAATATTATGTATATACTTCCTAATATTATATAAATAGTTTCAAAATATGCATCTAATCCGAAATAAAAATTAATAATTATGCAAGATTAATCATTCTTCTGATACACATATTTAGAATTTAAAAGAATTCTATTTTGTATATTATGATTATCCCATCTATATATGTAAAAAATGCATATCAAATTTTATACATTATACATATAGTAAACTATTAGGCGTTAAAATAAACTATATATAAAAATATAACATTATATAAAAATTAATAAGTATTCGAAACAATTTAAATATTTATAATAACTCCTTTATACATATCTTTCTGTTTTTTGATACACATTTTCTATACATACTATTCTACATTATTTAGAACATTGTTAGAAACTGGCAAAATGAATCTTCATGCAATCGATGAGAGGAAGAAAACTTTTACACTTTGTCTATTACAAAATCACCCTTTGTACCACCCGTTTTCGATATCAATTCTATACCATGTATTTGCATTACACCAGGAGTAGCTGCATATTTGCACATGTCGTAGATTGTAAGTGCCGCTATACTCACAGCGGTTAAAGCTTCCATTTCGACACCCGTCTTACCGTTACATCTGACCTCTGATATAATTTCCACACTGTGCGACTCCTCATTCAATCTTAGATGTAAGTTTACATAAGACAAGGCGAGCGGATGACATAGGGGGATAAGATCAGAGGTACGTTTTGCTGCCATTATACCGGCCAATTGGGCCACTGATAACACGTCGCCTTTCTTCACATTGTTCTCCGCAATCAGACTACTGATAATAGGACCTACCTTGATGAATCCCCTCGCTACTGCCGCACGTTTACTATCGTTCTTCCATCCGACATCTACCATACTCGCTTTACCGGTTTCATCTATGTGCGATAATGATGAATACATTCTAATACTAGTATTATTTTTAAGGTACATAGCCTTGTAAGGTAAATATTTATATCGCATCTCTCTTGATGCGGTATTATACATTTTGTGATAAAATTTCTCCTTATCATTAACTGTAACGTAAATATATTATAAAGTTAGTTTTAAATTTCGTAGATTGTACTGAATTAACGGAAAGATTTAAAAATTTATGATAGCATCTGTGCGCGTCTCGACAAAGCCGATGTATTTTAGAATAGTTGCTTAATTATCATAATCATCAATTAACCTCCGATCAGGATCATTGGCCTATTTTCCATCTGAGTAAGATTAAACATTCCTGAAACATATGTATCGCAGCAGAGATATAAATATGATCGGTTTGTCGACACTGCTACAGGTTACATTAAAGAAGGAAAAAAGAAAATGAAAAAGAGATTCAATTAAAATTATTGTTACTAAGACTTTTTTTAAACGACTTTAAATTTTTTCAACAAATACCACGTTCTTTTTGTCTTAATTTACATACCTGCGTGTTGTTTTTTTTTCCGCGACACTGCTTCTCTTATCAAATCTTTAAGTGCATCTTCCGAGGCTCCATTTCGCAAAGCATCTCTAAGCGAGACTTCACCTTTTCCTTCAAATAAACATACCTTCAAATTTCCGTCTGCTGTTATTCTTAAGCGATTACACGAATTACAAAAGTGTTGACTCATGGATGTAATAAATCCAACCTGCCCTACAAATCCTGGTACGTGATAAGCCTATCAAAGAAATATTCTATTGTGCAATATATTCTTGAATAAATGAAATTTGATTTCGGTATCACAAAACAAACCTTAGACGTATCATTTGGCTGGTTCGACAAAGGTTGGAAATCTGGATATTTTTTTCGAATTATTCTTTTCATCTCATCGAAAGAAACCATCTTATTTTCTTTCCATTCATTCCCTTGAAATGGCATATATTCTATGAAACGTACATCAATAGGACGATCTCTTGTGAAGTCGATAAAATCAATTATTTCATCATCGTTTCGCCCTCGCATTATCACACAGTTGACCTGGTCATCAAACATTATAAATATATAAATCACAATTATAGATTAGTAGATAACAGACTGCACAATATTAAAAATTGATTATAATTTACTTTTACGGGATTATAACCAAGTTGAACAGCAAGATCTATAGAAGCCATAACTCTCGTCCAACCCTTCCTGCGAGTAAACAACTCGAAGCGCTCCTCTCTGAGAGTGTCCAGTGATATATTCAACGCATCCAAACCTGCTCTTTGAAGAGCTGGCAGTTGACGAGTCAAAGTTAACCCATTAGTTGTGATTGCAATTTGTTCTAAATCTGTCAATTGCTTCAGTTGCCCTAATGCAAAATTATAAATCTTAAAGATATGGGACATCTCATGACATTAATATTAATATTGAAAAATATACTTTACCAACAATGTCAATAATATCTTTACGAACTGTGGGCTCACCACCAGTCAAACGTATTTTTCGTACTCCTTCCTTGACAAAAAGATCAGCTATCTGTATTATCTCATCTGTTCTTAGAATATTTTCCCTCTTGGTCAATTTAACACCTTCTGCAGGCATGCAATATGTACCTGCAATTTCATTAACAATGTAAAAAAAACTATACAATTTCTTAAAAGTTTAATAAAGAGACTCACAGCGAAGATTGCAACGCTCTGTAATAGATATCCTAAGATATGTATGTTTACGTCCAAATGTATCTGTAAGTATTCCACGCTTTTCATCCTCTTGCAATCTCGTTCTGAGCAACTGCAACTGTAATAAGCAAGCAAGTTATTATCATAGTTATCTTGAGCTGAAAATATGACTCAGGCATAAAAATTTTAAACGCTAAACTAAATAGAGACTATATTGTAACATACAGTACTCTAACAATACTTACTCGAGCAGACGTCTCTGTAACTGCGGCATCCGTGGATGCATTTGCAGCACTATAAAGTTGCTTGACGAAATTGCACTTTCGAAACATTTATACAATATGTAATAAGAAAGGAAAAAAAAGAAATGATAGGAGAATCTATAAAAACGTTATATCACTTGTTGGTATGATTATACAGTCATACTACATATCCTTTTGTATATTATTATGCGTCCTTCGAACAAAAACCAATTATAAAATTTCCTGTATCATCATGACAACTCAATGTTTTTTATCTATATGTACTGTCATATCTATCCAACTTTATCTGCAAAAAACACGATACATCAAGTGCAATTGAATCACGTGCTCCTAACGATTCGAAATAATCAGTCATTTCTTGCTTTCTCTTTTATATCACAATTTCGATTTTGCCTCATTGAATGTCCTCTGATATCAACCATCCATCCATTCATCCACCATTAACCACGTGATCAATCATCTGTTTATCTGTCACGTAGTCACGTGTATCTCGTCCAATTAGTGCAGTTCCAGTACAGCACTTTCAGTTAAAAAGTACAAATCCAGTGATGCCAGAATGCCCACGCTACCAACATATAACCGTGAGTGGAGGGGATAACGATCATATGAGTGATTCATATGTCCGTTACCCCCTCCATTCATGGTGTGTGTTCTTAGCTTGGGCGTCATTCTGGCATCTCATTGAACTGAACAAACCTTATATTTACAGTAATCAACAGTAATAGAGAAACCATTCAGAAGTGACCATATAAAAGAAGAAGAAGATAGAGAAACTACACAGAGAGAAATATATGGCTTAACGGAAATTGTGCCTAAAGTTAGAAATAATTAAAATAATTGATGATAATATAGAAGAGTCATCGATGATGATAAAATTATTGAGTCTTGAAATTTCAAGATTTTTGCAAATCGTGAAAGTAGGGTTAAACAGAAAAAAACCGTGATATATTCTGTACGTATTTGGACAAAACAAGACAGATAAAAGAAGAAAAACAAATTATGTCTCTGTTTCCAGCTTATTCAAGCGATAAATCTGAATCGACAAGTCATGACAATGCTGGTAATTTCGAACTTTAACCAATGTTTCCATATGAAAATAATTATGAATTAAAGATAAAATTCTAACAGATATAAATTTCAAATTTTCTACTTCTAAACAAATTTATCTTCTGATATGAGCATGTGTTTGATACTATATGTGTCTTTTAATTTTAGATAATATTTCCATCAAATGGTTGTCAAATTCGAGTTTTCAAACGCAAGCATCAATTAAAAGAGAAACTTTTGATTTGTCTTCTTCATCCGATGAATCTTTACTTGATATACCTAATGCAGAAAAACTGGTAAAATGTGAAACAGCTCTTTTAGATACAAATCTGCATACGAAACAGGAAGAATTGAAAACTGATAAAATACAAAAGACAAAGAAAAAAAAGCGTACACATGACAGTAAAAGATATAAGATAGAATATGAACAAGATGTTGAGAATGTATATTTTGAAGATAAGCATAGAGATAAAGGAAATAATAACATAAATACATACTGTCCCAGAGTAAGACCATCTTATGAAATTAGTGAAAAATTTATTGGTTTTATTAAGCATAAGCAACCAAAAAAGGATATATTTCACAGATATTATGTCAAAAATATTGATTCTGCAGAATCAGTAAAGAAAAAGGATACAGCTATCAAAAGAACAACTGAAAATGAAATTTCAACACAAGATGAAGAAATAAGTGAAAATATATCTTTTTGGTGTAAGAATTTGGAAGAAGAACAAAAATGCAAAACTCGAGAATATAACGAACAACTGGCAGAAGATCCATATAATATTGAACTTTGGTTACAATATATTAACTTTCAGGTAATAAATGTTTTTTATAAATTTATAATTATAATAATATTGTAATATTGTTATAATATTATAATAATATTAAAATTGTAATAATATAGTAATTTAATATGACATATTATATGCAAAATTAAACTAATAATATTTTAATATCAATTTCTAGGATATTCTGGTTGATTATCAAAGACATCAATTAGCCAAAGATATACATCGATCTACAATGCTGAAAAAGTTATCTATTGTTGAGAAAGCACTTGAAAAAAACATAGACTCTAAAGAATTATTAAAATTAAAATTACATTTCATGACAGAATTGACACCTTCTGATGAACTGTCGAATCAGTTGGAAGCATTAGTCAATAAAGATTCAGGAAACATTATATTGTGGCAACACTTCATTATGGTTACACAAGCTTCAGTAGCAATGTGTACTGTACCACGAGTATTGGATTTGTATTCAAAATGTTTTTGTGTTTTGAGACAGCGCGCGAGAACAAATCCTTCTGTTTACGACGCGCAATTGTTATGTAAGTAGGCATTTTGCCAATAATTTAATTATATATTTCTCTTATGCTAATTATATATGTTTTATCTAGATATGCTCTATCAATGTTTAACTTTCTTAAGACATACAGGATTATGGGAACAAATGTGGGAAACAATACGTCTAAATCTGAATTTAAATCTGAACTTAGATAAAACTAGTTTAGCCTTTCGAGGATCCATAGACGAAAAGAAATTAAGTAAGTATATAATGTTATTTTATAATTTATAAATAAAGAAGAATCTTATCAAATAGAGATTCAAATTGCAGAGAAAATAAACGTTTCAAATTATTTATATCAGATCATTGAATAACAGATATTAAAATAAAAGTAATGTTATATGACAATTATAAAGTTTGTTAAGCAAATTAAATATATTTTTTTATATAAATTTTATAATGATTGATTTGATCTAGCAAACAAATGTAGTGAAAAATGCTATATATATTATTTTTAATAATTATAAAATATATACATATACCCAATTGATTTCTCAAAAAGAACTTAATGGAAATCTTTTGTATTATTTTAATAATGTGCTAATAATAATTATTTCTAACAATAATATTGATTTTAGTTGGAATGGAAGAAATGATATTGATGTCACGACTACCACTTAATCAATTATGGCAAAGAACAGAATCATTACGAGAAAATTGCCACTGGATTAGTGTTAGTAGAGACGAATTAGAATTAGTTGGAGATTCTCGAAGATTTATTTTACCTGAAGATGTGGCAGATTTTGTACATCCAATTCTCTCTCGTAATTCAAATTTTAAAATGGCTATTTATTCTCTTTTGTGTCTAAAAGTGCCACTTTTACCTTGTCGGGATTATTATATGAATGTAAGTCAAATTATTTTGTTCAGAAACATTAAATATACAACTTTATAGATAAATATAATTGAAAAATATAAAATTATAAAGACTAGGAAAAAATTAAATTTTATGAAATATATTTACAAGTAAACAGAAGATTAATAAAAAATATTTTATATTTTTTATAGGATTTATTATTGAAAGACTTTAATTGGGGAGTAGAATCTTTGGAAGTATTACTTCCATTCATATATCCTATGACAGGTGAAATGGCTGGCCACAACCAAAGAAAAGAATTATTAAAGGATATTCTTGAAGGACGTTTAACATCAGGTCCTCAATATCTCAAATTTCATCCTGCACAAGAACCATATTTGGATTTTGTACGTAAAATATTCCATACAATCGCGGAAAGTTTACCATCGCTGCAACGAACGAGTATATATGTTTGGTGGTTGCGATTGGAAAGACTATTAGTTTCTCTCAACAAAGATGAACCTTTAAAACATGACAATAAGTAAGATTTTTGTATATATAAATATTTAATAGATTTAATTATTTACATGAGACAAGCATTTGTTTCTGATTGCAGAGGAAAAAAACTGAGAACAACATTGAAAGAGTTTTTAAAAAAGGATAAAAACAGAAATAATTTGTATTTCTACAAGGAATATGCCTTAATAGAATTGGAAATGGATAGATTCAGTAACTGCATGAATATCCTTGAAACTGCCATTCAATCTCAAGACACGTGTCCTTCTGCAATTACCAACAAATGGGAGAGAGCAGCGCTTTTTAATGTGTACAGAACATTTATCGAGACCTTATTAGACATTAGAACATACAACGAATCGCATAAGCAATGGATATTAAAAGTCTTCAGTCAAATGATACCTAGCAAAAATGAAAATCAAGATTCTGACTTGATTGAAGCATATTTGCATTCATGTGTACAAGACTTTCTACAAGCTTCTCCTGATGAGAATGAAAAGGATACCTTTTTTCTATCAAACTTACAATGCGACGCGATTATATGTTACACTTACTTTCTATATATCAAAAATGATGATATCCAAAATGTTATTGAAATATTGAGAACCTGTATTGATCATTCCAAGGATTATCCTTATTTACAGGTACCAATTTAATATTTTGTCACAATGTCAATATTTGCTGTTGAGAATATAATTATAAATTAAAATAATTTTTAAATTGTTACAGGAAATGTTATACGAAAGTCAAATTGCAATATTGCAGTTACATTATGAACGGACTCAGACATTGGAGGCTATGTTGAAAGAGACTCTAAGTAGGACTTTAAATATATATCCAAATAATTTTTATGCTCTTTCTGTATTTGCTAGTATAGAGGTAAATGTATTACATTACATTAGCAATATACAATAATATTTATCTTAAGATTTTAAAAGGAGAGAAGATTATTAAATTGGTAATTAAATTATATACTTATTATTATTACAGAGCGAATTACCGACTTGGAGATTTAATAGTAGAAGCTCTGAAATTAAATTGTGGCGAGCCATTGCAATGTGTCTAGCCGCTCGCAGACGTATTAGTATCTTAATGAAACTTGATTATCCTGATGCAGTAAATGCTGCATTAAATAAACTATTATCATTTCATTTAACACTTTCTAGGTAAAGTAGAAACAAACTTTTGTAACATTCAAAATTATTAAATATATTTGTCAATAAAATCGTTCATATTATGTGATATCTTACATATATGTATGCATGTATATATATGTATGTATGCATGCATCTATATGTGTGTATGTATGAGTATAATATAATATTCTAACAAAATTGTTTTCACAGAATACCATCAATTAGATGTTGTCCATTATTGTGGAGATTATATATGTTCCTGCTTCGGGAGCATAACTTATGCGAGAAAAAGGGAGAAGAAATTTATCACGAGAGCGTCACGCAATGTCCGTGGACAAGAAGCATTTATATAGATGCAGCTGAAGTAGCACCTCAACTTCTTACACAAATTCAGGATTTAATACGCGAGAAAGAATTAAGATTACATGTCACACCCGAAGAATTGGATATTTTGCGTGGATAATTTAATTATTTAATAGCTAGAAAAAAAGGTATATATAAAAATATGTATATATATAATACTTATTTTTTTATATAAATTTCCTGTTGTAATAAGTTTATTATTTATATAAAAGCATTGCAATTGCCAATCATGTTATACACAATACATAAATTAAAAATATTTGAGATTAGGGAATATGTAAATAAATTTTATATTTTACAATATATAAAATAAGAATTACAATAAAATATAAAGTGTAATATTTCATTAATTCATATATGGAAACAAAATACATGTATATATTTAAAATGTTCATATCTAAAATGTTATATATGTTAAAATATGTATAATACTTGCTGCTCTATACATGCAGCACATATTCAGAGACAAACTGTATATCGGTATGTGAGATGTTACAAATTTCTTAGATTATCAATTTTTAATAACAATAGTTGGCTAGATCAAGTTCCTAATAAGTTTAATCAATAGCTTAGATCTTAATTATATAAGAAGAGTATTTATTATTACTCCATGTATGCTTATAAATAGAGATATATGCAACTAAAATTTCAATGTGAAACCTTTTTATTAAGAACCATCATTATACTCTTCATTTATATACGCATACAAAAAAAATTATTGTATAATACTGACAGTGTAAGTGATCAGATCTAGAAGTCAGTAGTTAGATTAGTGACATAGTAAAAAAAATTATACAAGCATTTTCTCAAAACAAACTGAAAAGATCGTATTATTTTGAATCAAGTGTATCGTTTTCTTATTAAAACAATCAGCAATAATCTACAAATACATATATTTTTTTTCCCAATAACAATCTAACCTAAAATTAATGTATATGCATTACATTTTTTAATATAACGATAGTAATATAAAAGATTTTTACAAAAGCATATTAAATAAAAAATGTGTTAAAAGTAAAGTTAACTATTGTAGTATTACAGAATCACTCTAATCGTACTTATTAATCATACTTATATTTTTTATTAGTGTTATGAAGAGCCTGTAATATAAACATCACAGATATATTTCTTAGAAGATGGATTTGAAAGCTACAGTTATTTCTGGAGAAGCTCCAGAGTCTGATGATGATGCATCGAGTATTGCCACTGTACGTTATGTATATCACTGTATTATATTTCATAATTTACATTTTTTAATTTGACTAATAATGAAATTTACCATATATTTTATCATATATATTTTGTTATATGTATAGGGTCTAGGATTTCCTTCTATGCGGACACCGTCAACTTATTGTGGTACCATTATCTCTGGTGAAGCACCAGAATCTGATGATGGTGAGTTTATTGAATATTTTTGTTAACAAAATCTAAATAATATTTAAATCTTTTTACTTCTTTTATAGATTTAACAAGCTTAAGTAGCATCAGTGGAGCAATGGATGCCATGGCGTGTCCTCCTTATACAGATCTTAAAATATCAAAATCTAAAAAAAGTTCTATCAAATACAATAGTTTACTTCACAAAAAATTACGTAAGTGACTTAACAATTATAATATTTTTTAATTTATTTAAAATTTTTTTCCTATATTTATAATCCTATATTTTTTTCCTATATTTATATATTTAAAATATATAAATTTTTATTGCCATCATTATATCTTATGTTTAACAGAATATTTACAAAATTGAAACAAGTATTTTTACTTTTGTTAACATTCTTTTATTAATATTACAGTAGTATAATATGTGCATGACTATAGCTAAACAGTATTACATGTTTGTGTGTGGAATATTCATAACTCAATTCTTTGGTGACCTGTACTTCTATCGTAACTCAATTTCAATTTACTGCATCTAAAAAATTCGATCGCGCATAATTATAGTATTTACCTAATTTACACTGTACAAACAATTTTCTTACAAGTTCTTATAAAACAGCATTTATGAAAGACATTAAATTATATCTCAAAACAAAGTCGATATACATATATATGTACTGTTTATTAATTTTGAACATTGTTTAAATTGACATATGTTAAACTTGAACAGATGAATGCAATGAAACCTTAGATAGAGACATTTTGCAAATGACTGAGGGCACAATCGCAACCAGTGTACAAGAATTGTCAACTGTTAATCGACAATTGCTGAGAAGTGAACTGGTATTGCAAGAGGCTGTTTGTCAATTGCGTAACGCATCCAATCGCATAAAAGATGCCTCTGATGCTCTACATCAACTTATAGACGACAACTTCTTGAATTCCATTAAAACTTAATTTCTCTAAAATTATTAGTGCATATTTTTATTCTTAAGATTTACTTGATAACGATGAGTAATATGGCATATGTTAATATAGAATATGCTATTTTTTTGTGATACCGCGCATTAGATGCGGGTATGAAAAAGATGCGCAAGATCCTCTATTTATTTCTTATTAGGGATATTGTTTGAGCATTAATCGATTTTCCTTTTTACTCTGGCAGTACTATTTAACGTATCGTTTTTGTTATTTTCTAACACATTTTCATTCGTTTTGAGAAAGTTTCGTATCAATCACTTCAATTCATTATAAACTAATACCCTAAGATTGATTTGTGAAACCGAATATATTGCGCCTGATTTAATATGATATATCCGATCGATAGTAGCAAATAGTTTAATAATGGCTATTGCGCTTTCCATTTCCGTGAATTTAAATGCGGCGGTACATGTGCATTCCAATGTAAATATATGTATAATGCGGTTAGTATGTATGTGCGTAGGAGATATGATAATTATATTACAATATAAATATCAAGGAACACATGTTACGATATATTGAAAAGGTATTTCTGCGAAGAATAGACATACACTTTTCTTCTTATGGTTTAAATTATGGTTTAAAAAATGTAAGTACTGTGTGTATTTTACTTCATATTTTTTAACTTTCGAGAATCACATGAATTTAAGCATGACGTTCCTTTGTTAGATTATATAATCCTTTAATTAAAATAATATTTAATATATATTAGTTATATATGTGTGTGTATGTATAATCTTGCTAGAAATACTTGTCTCTTTTCTGAAAGTTTTCTCGTTTTTCTTTTTTTTTTTTTATCAAAGAGCACAATTTTGCTTGGTATCAAAGGGTTGACATCGACTTTTTTTGTTGTCGCTATTACGTCGCTAATGTTAGTGTACAATGAATTAGTGATTTCAATATGGGAATGGTTTTCGTTTTCTCTATAAATTCAGTCTTAAATATTCCATCAATCTTCGTTGAACTAAATCTCGGTATAATGGTATCTAAGTACAAAAATCCCATAAACGAAACATGTTCTGCTAAAACTTGATATGGCAACGTGGCGACGGAATGTCCACTTCAAAAAAATGTTATTTATGTTTTCCTTCTTATATGTATATTCTGATAAGTTAGCAGCTAAACACGCGTGTATATGATTCTGTTGGTATAGCAAGATATATCTTACGTTGTATTAAAGCAATTCCATATGCTCACTAAAGGATGTAAAGTATTGCCAAAGCATATTGTGCCACTGAATTGTATATATAGATTAAAAAAATTCTACAAAACTTAGAACTATTATTTGCTCTATGTATGAAACAAAACCTCTATGGTTATCATTATAGTACTAAATTCCCGAGAGCGAATAATACAAGTTATTTGTGTTTAATTTCTGTACAGTGCTTTTTTCGTCTCTGCGATTCTTCTTCATGTTCTTCATGCGAACGAGAGAGAATATGAGATCATCATCATCGATATATGTGTCAGCTTTGTTAACTAATATTTGTGTGTTTTCTCAGTTATATTCTATTATTGTAAATAAAAATTTAAATGGGCTCAATTCCAGAATAGGATTAAAGTTTGTTGCAGTTGACGACCTTTATAGAATATGCGACGTCGCACTCTATACATATTAGCCAATGTGAGGGCGCCCACCCCCCACATGGCCTACGCTCGCTCCATCTCACCACCACTTGCATACATCTGAAGAAGGGCCATAGATTCTTGTGCTTGTCGCTTCTCTGCTAGGAATCTACCTGAAGCTTCCTTCAGCTGCTCAAGGAAAAGTCTAGAACAAGATTGAAAAAAGAAAAATTAATTATGTTTTCTTTCCATTTGTTTTTGTAGGATAATTACAATTCTGTAATTACTTATTACCTACCTATCAGGCACTATATCAGCTAAACTATCAGGATCCATATCGCTAAGTAATTCCAGATCATTTCCTCCAAGGAGCGAAATATGCGATGGGTCGCCGTGCAACGACGATACTAAAGGCTCTATAGGCGTTCGCCGCCGTCGAATTTTATCAGTCCTTGAACTACCCTCCGCATCTACGTCATCTACAACGATATAACGAGACGCTGTCTTACTACTCCCCACGGCGATCCATTTTTGATCACCATGTAACACCATCAAGCTTGTATTCTTTTCTAATGTGGCGAAATATTCTTCATCATCTACTTCTGTCCCTGAAACAAATCAAAAGAAATCATGTAAGAGAATAATTCTTCATCTATTATAAAGAGAGTTATTAGTTGGACAATTTTTATGGTATGATATATGACAATTATAAATAGTTAGTAACATAAAGTATAACATATAATTATAAATAATTATTAATTTAAAAAAATATAAAAAATGAAGTATCTAAATATGAATGCATGTTACAGCATAAATATTCTCTCACCATCCTGCTCGAGTACAATTGTCAGATCTGCGTCTACGGGTAATGCCAGACGATTGCGTGCGATGTTAGTCAGCTCTTTTAGCGACGAAGCGGTGATACCCTTTCTTCGCTCCCTGGTATGATCGACTATTTTGTAGGGATTGCCCATTCCCTGCGTGATTCCCGTTGTATCTGACATTTTTCTTCACGGGCCGTGAACGAGAGCAAATATTAAATTCGCTGATCACTAGTAATTCCCGTTTCGAACAATACTGGGAATACTCTCTACACCCTGTGATAAACACAACCGTCTAAGTTGGAAAAGATTTACTTTCTCGAAGAAAATTGACTGCTGCTAAGGCCTGGTTCTCGTTGCACATCAATTGGTTGATGATGCTTCAATATGATGATAAGTTTGAATGATTTCGTCGCGCGCCCAATGATGACAGAGATAAGGGGGAATACGCCCTTGTACGAGATGTAATAGTCTTGTGCGATAAACACAGTGTACAAACACGTTTTTTATTTTTTTAACATCAATGAGAAAGATATCCCTTCTACAAAGATGCACTAGAGCAACGCCAATTGTCTAACTGATGAATCTTCGAATTAAAAAATCGTATCACATTTGAAAGAAACAATCAAGTATGAAAGGGCAGTGCTCAAGATTACGTTGGATCGACCTGCGGTAGACTAAATGATTTGAGCGAGCCTCGAGACTGTTATATATTTGTTAAACAATTCACAGATAAAAAAATCAGCAGAAGGCGGCGGCAACGACGATTGTGCGGCGCGATGGAAAGAGAAAAAGAGAGAGAGAGAGAAAGAATGTATGGTGCCTCGAGTGACTGAACTGACCGTGTGTCAACCCAACACTGGGTCAACGGTGCAACTACCCTTTCTATTTATACCCCCTGTAGACTCTCCCGCAGGTATATACGCGCGAGCGAGAGACACCCCGACACAGCATCCCACCCACCTATCTACCCATCCAACCCTCTGTCCCCTGTGGCATCCCCCATATAGAAATCAATAATCTACCCCTACTCCACGTGACCGCGCTTATTTTTTCAACACAGTGTCCAGACGAGAAATTTATAAAAATACCCGTCATCGCCGATAAAGAGGACGATCTCCGGATGCAAAAACATTGATGAAATCGATGAGATAATTCACGACACGTGCCAATCGATTCTATTTCTTTGAACTCGTGAAGGGCAATTAAAAATAAAAATGTTTAAATATTGATGCATGCAATTCAGATAATATACGATTTACTGGAAAAATATTTTAAGAAAGAATTAAAGTATATCTTATCTAAAAAAAAAAATATAAAAATTGTTTTCTAGCTTTCTTTTTTTGTTTTAAATGTTAAAAACTCTTTTTATTATTTTACATTTATTGAAATATTTTAATATAAAAGATATATGCGTATGTCTGTGATTTTTAATTTAAAATACAACAAAAAAAGAAAAGATATTGCAATTTTTTATTTACTATTTTTATTATTCAATTTTATATTTCAATGATAAGTATAATCAATGCAATTATAAATGCGATATTCACAGAAAATATTTAAAGATAATTATAAATTATATTATACAATACATATATATATATATATATATATATATATATATATATATGTACATATTGCAATATATTATTTTTTATCACAGACGATATATACTATAAGAAAATTATTACCCATTTCTTTTAAATGTACTTTATAAACTCTTATTTTTTATTACATTAAATGTATATTCTATTTATTTATACGTTACATATAGAAAATTTGTATTAATAATTTAATATACAATATTAATTAATAAATAGATCAAGTATATCGAAAATATTAATTATTCGATCACAAATTGGATAGAAATTTTAGTTTGCTAGGATCTTTGAACTTAAAATACAGCACTGTAGTTAAATTTAGATCAATGAGACTAGACACTGTTTTAAGTTTAAAGTTAGCTCAGACATAGCCCAGTTAGGGCTCCTAGGTGAGCCACAGAATCCATTCGAATGGAGTTAATCATATTTGGCTAGGATTTTGATTTAAAATCTGTATTAAAAAATGCCATCGTCGAGTGGAAATAAAGAGTCCGACGACAGTCAGACATGGGAGTTAGCAGAACGGTGTTTATTACCTATCGCATTTTCACATGCAATTGCAGTCATCCTGGCAACTATATTGAACACTTTTGGGATCTCACAAACATCTAGCTTTGTGCTCTTCTTGTTGCTATTGGTCATATCTATAGGATCCACATTGTTCTATCACAATCTGAAGGTAAGATATATATTTTTGATATAATTATACTTGATACAAGCAAATAATACTAATGTAAAAAATTTTTTTAAAGCAAATTTAGAGATTACAATAGTAATTATTTCTCTCTCTTTCTTTCTTTCTTTTTCTTTTGTAATCATGTTATTGTTAGTTAGTGTAATATGTTAAAAAATTTTCAATTGATATGTGAAAAAGCAAATTATAATTCATTCTGACCTAAAACAAGATATATATCACATTTTTGTGTAACAAAATTGTCTTCCTCAACCTTTCATAATGTCAATTACACTTGCAAATATCCGAAAGTTCAAAGGCCTTCTTTATATCGGAATTTTTACGGATTTTTATGCCTGATTGAAAGCTTTGACCTTCTTTCATAATACCGCATCAATGCACCTATCATCATTGCATACTTCCTGTTTTACACAAAGGACTTTGAGACCATCATCGTTCGCGTTCAATGGCTTTAAAGTATTATAATATTATGAAGTTTCATTATCAAATTATGATTTAATAAGTCAGACATATTTTTAAATATACATAATACATAGTTTACTTGATGCAACAGGTTACTGCAGCAGGAAAGGCAGTGTTAATCACAGGTTGCGATTCGCGAGTCGGATTTGCTTTAGCTAAACAGCTGGATGACTTGGTAATATATATGTGAAATATAAAATATTTTAAAAATTGAATATAATTTAAAATCAATATTTATATGGTTTTTTTCTTCTTTTTAAGGGCTTCACTGTATTTGCTGGATTCACTAATAAAGCTGACAATGAAGAGATCATGCAAAAATTGAAAGATGATACTTCTGGAAGATTGCATGCATTGCAATTGGATGTTACTAGTGAACGTGATATACATTCAATTTTTCTTTACGTCAACGAGAACTTGCCCGATGGAGCTCCCGGTATATCTCTCTTAAAGCCTCATAAGATTATAAACCTTTGATGTGTAACAAATTACAACCTACGTCATTATACGTTATTTCAGGATTATGGGCACTCGTGCATGCTGCTGCTTGGGTGACTCTTGGAGAATGCGAGTGGGTGCCCCCATCTGTTCTCAAGCGAAGCATAGACATCAACTTTGTTGGCCTAGCACGTTTAACTCAGGTAAGCGTCATAAATGTCAGGAGGTAAAGAAAAATCTATGACGTAATGAAACAATACTCTCTTACTTTCTCTATAATAGGTATTTCTACCTTTGGTGAGGAGATCAAAAGGTCGAATTGTTCTCGTTAGCAGCCTCTTGGCACGGATACCAAGCCCTGTTCGAGGCATTTATTGTGCACTTAAGGTAAATTTTCTTATATATATTGATTATATTGTATCTTATCTATTTGTATAATCATGAAACAGGAAATATTAATAAAGCTTAAGTAGCTTCATAGAAAATTATAAATATACCTTAGGCTGCAGTGGAGGCTTGGGGCTCTTGCTTAAGATTAGAGATGCGGAGATGGGGTGTGGATGTTGTAATTGTCGAAACCGGAGAATACGTGTCCGGTAATGCATGGCTAAAGGATAATACAGCATTGTTGGAGCAAGCTAGAGATATGTGGACTCAATTGGATCCTCAAACTCGTAAGGAGTATGGTCAAGAGCTGTTTCAGGCAGAAATGCTGGCTCTAGAAAAGTACACTGAGGGACCAGAAGCAGATTTAACCGCTGTTACAAGAACTCTAACTGATGCTGTGGTAAAGACTTTCCCGATGCGACGATATACACCTGTAACGCGCAGTGAAAGAATACAAGCATTGTGTAATCATTATCTGCCAAAACCAATTTACGACATATTGTATGCAAATTAAATATATCTCCTGTGCAATACATATATATTGACAAACTGATACACAGAATACATTTGGAAAAACATATTTTTTGAGAATAGATGATACTATAACAATAAGAATCTTATATAAATCAGAAATAAGACTAAAACTTTTTTAGCAAACTATATAATTGCCCAAAATACTGCCTATATAATGTAGTTGCAGTGGAACACTGTACAAATTTGATAAAGTTAATAAATATATCAAATTACAAAATTTACAAAAATATAAAATTTCAATTCTTAGAATTATAAAACCTATATCATGTGTGCATAAGTAATCATATTTTACACAATCTACAATTATTTACAAATATATTTTACAATATGTATGCATATGTATTGCAGTAAAACTTTATTTCTAAGCTACAATTGTAAAGGATTATCCCTATTATAATAATGTCATCATTTTTAAAAATTTATGTACAAAATTTTATATATATATATATATATATATAAATGCAATACATATGCAAAATTAAATAGCTGAAAATTTATAATCATAATATTCAATAATTTGAAAAAATTAACTTTAATTTCATCAAATCATTGTTGATTTCCTTTTCAAAACAAAAAAGAAAGTAGAAGAGAAATATGTGTATATATAATTACATTTAAAAATTAAAAATAGAGAATAGAGAATAAAAATAGAAATTAAGTATATAAATATGAATAATATAAAAAACTAACCAATAATTACACACTACTATACACTGACAATTCACGAAATGTCAATGCACACTCATAGCAATGTTAACCAATGACATTTGAGATAAGAAAGAGAATCGTACGATTGAATCTCTCTCATCATTGGTTCGTTCACTTCTCGCCATGTCGACGTTTTTCGGTTCCACTAGCATTGATCAATGGGTTCTGTTCTTTTCATCTGTACTGCTGCACTAGTGCAATAAGTTAGAAAGAGACAAACCTACTTTCTTTCACTCTAACTAATTGCACTAGTGCAGCAGTGCAGCTGAAAAGAACAGACCCAATAGGAAGCGAGTCCGTGCGCAAGTGTATAGAACTGTACGAAATGGATGCATCAGATGCCAATCCATCCGCAGAGTTCACAGTTTCGTACATATTTAAGATCCAATTATTTTCGTAATATGCGAACGAAGTGTCAAAACATCGCGTGAATTACCAGCTATATAATGTAATCACATCCATCTTGTCATATCCACCTCTCGAAAACTTATTTGCCCCGAAGTTGAAGGTACGATTCCTTGTCGAGCAAGCTTCGTAGTACAAGATGGCATTGCCACCGAATTACAAACAAGTCGCAATGGCTACATCGAATATTGTAGCCTCCAATCGTAAGTAATAATTAATTTTTTTGTTCTGAAATGTAAAGTTGATTATTTAGTTTTGAATTTAGTTTTGAGACATCTAAATTGTAACTTTTTATATCTTGTAGAACGTATAAGAGCATCCGGTGGGAGTTCAAGTAGTTCAACGAACAGTGTAAGTGGATATTACTACAACGAAATATATTTATTGGATCTTTAAATTTAAGAATTTAATGTTTAAATTGATATAACTTTGTTTTTTTTTAGAAAGATGCCCAGAGTCCATTTGTACAGACTCCCCATAGCCATCCAGGATTTATACCACAGAAAGTTGGAAAAAATACCAATGTATGTATCTGATTTTATATAAATTAGAACATTATTATCCATTTGTTGCATGAAAGATGTAAACAATATTGTATTAATTTAAGTGCAATATTGCATTAATATTGTATAAAATTAATGAAACAGTTGATTTTATTGTAACATTGATAATTTTCATTGTTAGGCTGACTCTCGTATGCCAAAACCACCTAAACCACCAGAAAAACCTCTTATGCCATATATGAGATATAGCAGGAAGGTATGGGATCAAGTAAAGGCTCAGAATCCCGAGTTAAAACTATGGGAAATAGGCAAAATTATCGGCCAAATGTGGAGAGATTTGCCAGAAGAAGATAAAACAGAATTTATCGAGGAGTATGAAGCTGAAAAGGTATACAAATATTTTCTATTATGATTTCATATTATTTTACAATTTGATATTCATATACATATGTTCTATTATTTAATCATAGGTAGAATATGAAAAAAGCTTGAAGACTTATCACAATTCCCCTGCATATTTAGCTTATATTGCAGCTAAAAATCGTGGAAAGTCTGGTAAATAAATATATAATGAATGTAATTTCAAGATTTATAATAGAAATTAGTATGCAATAGTGAAAAGTTATTTTATAATATCAAAATATTTTTCTATTTAATGCAGCATTATGCGCAGCACAACAAAGTAATGATGATCGAGAAAGTCATGAACGTTCGTCAGGTAGTAGTAAAAGTCAAGCAGCTCAGGATAGGAGGATTGATATTTTACCAGCAGAAGATGATGATGGTACATAAAAAAATAACAATTATTATTATTGTAAATTAATATATACATACTCTTGTTTTACATATGACTTTCATTTGATTTATAGATCAAGATGATGGATATTCTGTGAAACATGTAGCATATTCGCGTTACACAAGAAATCATCGACTTATTAATGAGATCTTTAGTGACACTGTTGTCCCAGACGTTCGTTCTGTAGTCACTACTCAAAGAATGCAGGTTTTACGGCGTCAAGTACAATCTTTAACAATGCATCAGGTAATTAATATGCTCACAAACATATATATATATATATATATATATATATATATATATATATATATATATATAATTTTACCTTAAACTAAAATATTTCTTTGATATTCCAGAAAAAGCTTGAGGCTGAATTGCAACAAATTGAAGAGAAATTTGAGGCAAAGAAACGTAAATTCATAGAAACCAGTGAAATATTTCAAGAAGAACTGAAGAAGGTATAGGAAACATTTTTTTTAAATTAATAATATTTAATAAAATATTTACACTTCTTTTCAGCACTGTAAGCCAGCAGTAGATGAGGAGACATTTAACAAAATGGTAGAACGACAATATGAAGCTCTTAGACGAGAGAGACTAAAAGGAACAGAAGAGAATCGTTCGGATGGACCGGCGTCTAGCGAATCCACGCCAAACTCTACCCCGACTCCGACTCCTGCATCACTTAATGACGAGACTCAACCTGATGTAAAAATATCATGTTCATAAAAATTTTTAAACATTAATTTTTAAATATTTTCAATATTAATATTTATATTTTTATATGTTCACAGATTTCTGACAATGATTCGATTGAGAAGAAGCCCATTGATAAGCCTAGTATTGAAATAAACAAGAAAATGTCGCCTCCATATATCGAAAGTAAAACCGAGGCACCGTCAGCTGTGCAAGCAAATGTTAATCAGCAACATGGACCAAACCCTGGAATGTATTGCAGTAACGTAATTAATCCGATTCAACAACATCCGCATCAGCAACAAACGCAAACATCGCAGCATCCGCCGCCGCCGTTGCAACATCAACCATCGCCTCCTCAGCAATCACATCAGCCTCCTACATTGACGCAACAGCATCAACCACCGCCACCGCCACCTCAGCAGCATCAGCCGTTATCTTCACAACATCAGGCACCGCCATCGTTGCAACCGCAGCCATCGCAACAACAACCACCGCAATCGCAGCAGCAACAACCATCAACTCCCCCGGTACTGACGCCTCAACAACCAACCACAACAGCTACAGCAGCAGCGGCTGCGGTTGCGGCAGTAGTCGCGAGCGCAAATGCGACCGCGAATTCCACTTCGCCAAATATGCCGCCGGTGTCCGCACCGACGGTACCTATTCAGCACAATCCCCATCAGCAAGGGATGCTTGCGAATCATTCGATGCCACCGCATCAAGCGACGCAAGGTTCTCAGGGTACGCAGGTTTTGCCACCGCAGGGGCCAAATCCGCATACTCCGCAGATGATGCCGCCTAATCAAGCTTACGGCCAGCAGCCGTATCAGTCAGGTCCCGGTCCTCAACAACCGCAGAATGTTCCCCTAGCTCCGAGGCCGCCACATCCCACTTACAGCTACTCCCAGCAACAACCATATCATCAACCTTATCCGCAATACGCTCATCCATATTATCATCAACCATACTCGCAGTACTCGCCCCACCCGATGGGTCGTCCTCATGGTCATGGTCCTCATAGTCCGCACAATCCACATTATCATCCTCAATCACCTCATACAGTTGCTGCTGAAAGTAATACCAGTAGCAATGTTACTGGCGGTTCTGCGAACGCTGCGGCTTCCACACCCGCTCCTGACACTAATAATCCTACTTCGTATTCTTCGCCTGCGGGACACTGTGAAAGCGAACGTTCCGGTTCATCGGACAATCAGGAAAGTCAGGTAGATGCTAAATCGGGATCCACTTAAATATTGTTTATTTTACACTGATTCCGAATTTTTATCAACATGTATTTGACTATTCCCCTCTATATTCTTATGTTGCATTACAAACAAACTTTCAATCTTTTAATCTTTCCATTTATCATAAAAATGTAGCGATAATCCTTATCTATATGACTTGCAACACATTATGGATACGAAGTTGTACCGTTTTACATAAAATGATTGTATTGCGAGGTAAAATGGATAAGAGAACATTGTATGCACACAAAATGCTCTTTGATTATATCTTCGATTCATAATATAATCAGTCTTATTTCACTGGTTTCATTTGCCAAAGTCCATCATTTAAATAATGACAGTTTTCGATGCCTATTCCCTTATTTACTTTAGCACTGCAAAATCACGATGTTACATTGAAATATATATTAAGAATTAATATTAAAAAAAAAAAAAAAAGATTATTTCAACTTACATGTCTTCCGTCGATAATGTTGTAATTCCAACAGCTAACGCATGTTGCTTGCCTTCTGCCATAACAGCCTATATTTCAAATTAAGGATTCGTATTTGGTGTGTAATAAATCAATTAACATGTATAAAATATCTGTATAATTCAGTTTAAATTTAAAGGATACAACAACAGTTCCTTTTTCCACAGTCATCATCTTTGCACCCTTTGATGTTAAACCTGGACACATTATGTTGGCACCGCTAAGAACAAATCTAATGGCACCTTTGTCAACTTGCTGCATTGGTAGGAAGAATGGATCTAAAAAGATATAATTTATAAAAGTATAAAAGAAAATTTATGATAAAATATCTTCTATTTGTTATTCAATTAAATAGTATAAATAAACTTACATTTGTGTAATAATTTTAAAGTAGGCATCCAAGGGCCTTCACGTTGACGAAAGAATAATAACTCTCCCGCTGCATTCACTATGATCTCTATATGGTCGTGACTAATGATATAAAAGCAAAATGTGGTAAACTTTAGATAAATCTTTGCAGATGATAACTCACCATTTTATGATGCGGAAAGCGTCTTTTTTTGGTATTATAACATCTATGTGACTATCCAAATAAGGATACAGCTCAAGGAGCTTTGAACGAATTCCTTTTTGCACGGACGATTTTAATTGCTGAACACCAGAAATGCTGTCCTTCTCATCAAATCTAACAAAAGATAACGAAAGAATAACATTTGTGCAATTAAATGATAACATGAAATATGTATTCATGTATTACAATAGAAATTATTTTTTGTACTTGTCAAGACTAATATTTGACAAAATACTGATTATTTTTATAGCTTTCTATAATGTAAAATTTAAATTGTTTAATGTATGTATTGTATTAAAAATATATATTTTCTTTCTCTTCTGTCTCTATCACGTATTACAGGAAAGTTGGGATATTGACAATTTAATAAAAAGACATACGTACTTTTTAAACATTTTCTCGATTTTTTAATGATATATCACCGATTTGAAATGTGATCCGCATCCAATTAATTGATCATCCACATCAAGATGTTAATTATTTTGGACACACTTTTTCAACAATGTACACTATGGCAACGTGCATTCGCGAAAATGGTGAGGTTAAGGATCAGTCCAGTGATGTCAGAATACCCACGCTAGCAACATTCAATCGTGAGTGGAAGGGGTAACAGTCATATGAACGATTCATGTCCGTTTCCCCCTCCATTCATGGTTGCGTGTGTCCGCGTGGGCATTCTGGCATCACTATAGCGAATTGGAGCTGTGCGCATACATTTTTCATACTTACGCATATACATACATACCATGGGATGAACACACGATTATTGTGTGTAACATTTATTCAGAAGAGTTTGCACATAAAATATCTATCTGACAAAACTAGCTTATCACAGATGATTAAAGAACGCCCCATCTTTTATATTGAAAATTTCTTTGATCAATTCCTTTGTACGAATTTATGCAATTATGAATAATAGATGAACGAACCTTTATGCCAACAATGACAATTATAGTCTGACGTTTTTGAATAACACAAAAAAATTTTGTATTATAGTCTAATTAATTAATATATAAAAAATTATTTTTCTGAGTATTGAAATTTATATAATTATATATGTAGTTATAATTTTTAGATTTTAAATAATGTTTTTTGTAGTTTTCTACGTATAATTAATTTAATTTCAAACGTAATATGATTTTTATGAATGTCAGTTTTATACAAAACGTTAAATATTGAATTTTTTAAAATAAATTTTTTGTTAAGAAAAAAAATTCATATTTATCAAAGAGAATAGATGGGAAATTTAATAATATATTATAATCTCTTTTTTATCTTCAACATAATATGCACTTTTAAATCAATATGCATACTTTTCATTAATCCTTGCATTCGGAAATAATTGATCTTATTTATCTATAATTTTTATCCTCTTCAAAAGATTAATTTATTGTCTAAAGAATATAAATAATGTGTTATGGATTTGTATAAATTAATCTCTCGCCATATAATTCTACGTTTCCATTTCGCAACGTTTGAAGAAAAAAATGAGGAAACAAATATATATGAATGTGTATATACTACATGTGTATATACTAAAAAGCGGCGGTAATATATTATATTATCTAGATTTATATATCCTCTGTCTCTCTTTCGAGAAAGGAGAGGATAAAAGTCACGCACGCACGAGATAAATTTTTATCTCTTAAGAACACTATAGCGATATCAAAACTTTCAGTCAAAGTGCAAACGATCTTTCAATGAGACTCGAAAGAAGGATGCTTATTATAGAATTGTGTATCTATTATATCCATGAATATTTTTCAAGATTCATCGCGATTATTTCTATATAATATTATGCTGCTTTCAGAAGTTATTATTTCTCAATGCGTGGGTTAGTACGATATCTAGATCAATGTACAAGAAATTAGTGATGTATGTAGTGTATATGATGATAATTGCTATTATTCGTATAACAAATACGATATGCAACACTCGTATATCTTTTATATTTTACAAGTACTTGAAGTGTGCTAATTATTCATTGCATCGTTTTACAAGCGATCTAATGTACAGCGGCACAATCTCCCGTGTGAATTGCTAAAAATTGGACAAGGCATACGCGTTGTAATTTTATTTAACAATCCAAGTTCGATAAACGCAATAACATACGTTTCTCGTTTATACGCAATAGTCTTCCAAATCCCCAAACAATATTTTTCGATTCAATTCATACCGTTTCATAAATTACACGAAGACGTTCTCGACGATGTAATAAAAATGTAAAGATCGTCAGTCGAATACAGTCGCCACAAGTCGTCTTCTTATTGCGATATACACACAAAAATGAAAGACAGGTGTTTCGGTAAATTTATCAATCGTACATAGAATATTTATATATACAATAAATCTTCTAATATAAATTAATAACTTTAATTCTTTTTCATCTGCGTGTGTTACAGATGTAATCAATTGAATCGCATGCGTATCGAAGATTCAAGTACGATGCCGAAGCTGCCTCGCGTTTCTTAACATTCTTAACTTCCAATAATATCTATCTAGAAGAGACTAGCGCAACGAAAGAAAACAAACGTTACGTATTATTTTATTTCATCGTTGAGATTTGTTCAGAAGGAATTGCTCTTTCTGGTATCCATGAATTTTTCTTCTTCTTTATATTCTATATAAACGCGATCGAACGTTTCCAAAGCTGCGCATGTTTGGAGCCTGAGATAAGATCGCGAATCGAAGCAGAAGCACGATGGTTTCCGACGAAATTACAGCCGTAAAATTGAGAACTTCTAAACATTAGATAATGACAGAAATAATTGTTGATAAAAATAATTTAAAACATGAATGAGAGCAGATAAAAAGAATAAAATTCTCGATCCAGAATAATTTGCGATTTCACTTGAAAGGTGCACGGTGAATACGCATTTCATTTACATGATGACATAATGATCGCTAATCATATCGGAGTTACACGGTACATACATACCGCATTATCCTACATGAAAAGTACCAAAATATATAAGTTAGCCCGAAGTACATTTATACGGCGATGATACAGATGAATATCGTCGTTCATTCCGCTCGTTCGTTGTTCTAAATCTTCAGAGCGAGATTTAGAATCCATCGTTTATACACGTAGAGAAAATTCCTCGAATTCTTATGAAACACCACAAATTCGATGATGATTGATCGTCGTTAATTATGGATTCGCATCTACAAACAACAAAATTCAGAGACGAAACAACGTTAATAAATATAAAGAAATATTTTTTTAATTTAAATACATAACATATGATAAATATTCTCTCAATTCTGAAAAACAATCTAAGAATATAAATTTTGTGAACTCCCTGAAATGATAAAATAGTGTCCGCAAGGCGAGAGAAGCGGAGAGGAGGAAAGAACTGGAGAGAAATATCATTTATAAATACACAAGCCTGCGCGTATATCTCTCCGAAAAAATTTCAGAAATCTCACATGCTAAGCGTAAGAATTAATATTTTTATCCTCATCTTTTTTTCAGATTAAAAGTCCGGATCAGATTAGATGTGGGAAATCCCACAAAGTAGAGTTATAGATGTTGCCATTGGGTTGGCATAAGATTGTTCGAGGATTGTTCGATAGCCCTTGCCACGGATTCATGAAGTCCATGACCGAGCCATATGTGATTCAATCGTCGATACTTCTCGTGGCATAGATGCAATGGATTTCCACGTCGTAGACCCTGATCCGTCTCGCCGTATTCGTCAAGATACGGCGGGCATACGAAGGAGCCGCGATTTGGCGTACGCAAGAATAAAATCTCGCATTCGCGTACACGTAGAAATATACCGATGCCACAGCCGCACTTGCTCGCGTGATACGTGCATGCGCCTACTGGTGTCTTGTTGAGCTCCGTTTGGCAGCAGTAGCTTTGCGAGCACAGCATATCGCCGCATACCAGACACATCGTCGGATTACGCGAGTCTTCCCGATCGCTGTTCGGGCAAGTGAACTGGGATATTGAATTGATGAGTTCGCTATAATCATCGGGCAGGTCTACCAGTTTATTCACCATCAACGGATCCTTGACGATCAGAGCCTTCTCGGTACCTGAACGATGATTCCAAACTGTAGGGTGATTACGCCATATGTCTATCAGTTTTAAAGTAGCATCTAGATGAGAATAAATTAAAGCATCGCAAGTGGCGGGCAGTCCCAGATATAGACAGAGTTTCTCATACGTGTCGCCGTGCACCTGCGTTAGTTCGGTCGGCGGTGGTACATCGGACACATAATGGAAGTAAATGGCGCAACATCGAAGGAAGGGCCGGCAAGCAGATTCTACCTGTCGCCATAGGTTGCTGGCTCTCTGTTTGTCAAAGTGCATGCCCAGAATATGGAACAAAGCGATGTCCGATTCAGCTTCTGCCTCTTGACTATCTACTTCCATAACGTTAGAAACATCGGATGTAAAGAGAATCTTCGCAATGTGGCACAAAAATACGAGCTTGAGTGCATGCGACTCGAATACGCAGCCTGTGATGATAGGTGGTGGATTCGGACCCTCTTCCTGCGCCTTTGTATGAAAGAGACTCGGTAGTGAGTTAATGAGCGGTATTAGCACGCCAAACGGATCAATATCAAAAATGCTAGGCTCACTGGACGGACTTTCCATTAATATCGTAAGCAATGCTACTGCGTAAATCATAATCCCTTCACGATCCGCCCAGATATTTGCATGATTCGACATATGCGAGCCTAGAAGAGCCGACAGTCGCACGAGACTCTCTAAACTATCGCCCTGTCGAGAGGTCATGGCGCCTAATAATGGCTTGTCCATGTCGCGCAACAGGAATTCTATTGCATGGATCGTGTACGCTGTCGACTTCCAAGCTAACAAAGGTAGATCACCATCGATAAAATCCGTGTATCTCGAGCGTAGGATTTGTCCAAAGATCGTCGCGAACATGTGAATCATCGCCTCCATTTTTCGTGAGAGATTTGGTCCGGATCGTGAATAGTGAGATTCAAATGGCTCCCAAGCTTCTTCAATCTCTTGTCGAAGGACGGTCATAGGACTGACGACATCCACTAGATCATCTGTCTCCATGATTCTGCCAAACTTCTTATTCGGTTTGCATTCCGTCGCCAACGCCATGACTTTCAACCACGTCTCAAAACTAATATCCGGTTGTGGTTCCGGAGTTGGCTGAAGCATCTTCAAGGGTGGTACAAGCAGGAGAACAGTATTGCTAAGACATTCACACAGCGGACAGAGGTACTCGCGGTTCTCGGCATCAAAACTCGCCGGTGCTCGCGTTCTGTAGGGTCGCCGATTCTCCTTGACGAGTACATTATCAAAATAATCCTGCCAACAACGGGCATGCATCACATGGCCACACGTGCTGGTGTACGGTGATACGCCCAGTTTGGCTGACAAATACAACGGACCGGGTTCCTCGATGTCTGGTCGACGTTGACAAAGTACAGTGGATTGCTGAACAAACGCAGCCAATACCATTGCAGGATCAGTTTCTGTAACGACTTGATCCTCCTGGCACAAGATGCATGTGTATGTCTTCTGCTCGCATAACCTACTGGTCTGACCGATGCCAAGGGCGACTGGTGTACTTCCCTCTTGGGAAGAAGATTCTGTCAGATCCATAGCGGAACCACGATCGCTAGTTTTACTATTGGCGTCCAGGTTCGCTTCTTCAAACAAGGTAGCATTCTTCTTCATGAAATGATTCTGCATAGCTGTCATCTGCGCCATAATCTTGGCGCGTTTTTGAGCTGCCATTTTTGTTCGCCACTCTTTGTCCGTCTCCTTAGTACTGATGTCGCCATCGCTTGTTTGCTGCATTGGCTGTTGTTCGGAGTGCGAAGATGCTGGACTGGCTTCTGTAACAGTCAAACTAGCAACCTCGCGATACTTGGTTAGAACCCATGTGAGCAAATCTTTGTGAGCCTCCATGCGCGGACTGGTAGATAGATCCTCTAGAAATTTATAAATCTTCCATTTGGCCGCCCGTTCGCAAAACGCGAGGAAGGGATAATAACCAGATTCTTGTTCTTGCAGCGCATAACCGATCAGATGAAGTATCTTGTGTACCTGCGGTTCAGAGAAAGTTCTGGCTGTGAAATCGAGCGCACGTTCTAGCACAGTTTTCATAATGTGAAGCATAACATCGCATTGTAGTAGATCTGCTATCATACTAAATGACTCCGTCAGTCTAGGCAGCTTCGGTGGTGGACAGCACTCCAGTTCTCCCTGAGCTTTCCTGCGCTTACGTTGAACCTCTTCTGATCGACTATGCTCTTCCTTCGTGTAGTGATAAAAGAATACGTTGTATTCTGTATACAAATGCGGCTTCAATTCATATACACCCTTCCCCGCTGATACTTGCGCCGGTTTTTTGAAATCTGCTACTTCGTGTATCACCCTTTCTACGTCGGTCTGAACTTGGTTAACAACGTCTTCCGGCAATGTTTTATTCAGCTCTGAATGCGAGAGCGGTTTTATGCACAATTGTTGTATGATCTCCTTCTTGAGACGATCATCCGCAGTCACTTGACCGATACCAGGAACGTGTCTCTCGCCGATAATCGTGATGAGTAAGCCCAGAAACTCCTCTACCAGATTGATCGTCTGCCGCATACCATCCTCCTCTAGATTTTTCAAACCGAATACCTCGAAATATGGCTGCGCCCAATTGAGGAGATTAAATTTATTTAAAATATGAATCAAAAATTCATTACTTTCTATCAGAGACGCGCCAACTTGAAGCAAAATAATATCCCGATCCAACATCTCGCTACGGCATTTGACATTATGGTAAAAATACAATTGATTTAGCAAAGAGTAACCGTTTCGTCGCCACATTCCCGAGTGTACTTGTGAGATCATAGCCTGCGCCGTCAGTACAGGCTCGATAATTTGTTCGAGCGTTGGTCTCGTTTGATTAATAAATTCGGGCGATTGAAAGTGTAAGTTATACTTTTCCAGGTGCAGGAACAGACCGGCAAGAAATCTCGAGAGCGGCAAATGAATGGAGACCGGTTCAGACGATACGTCGTATTGCAGGCACGTCGCGCTATGATCTGCCAATTCTCGCACCTGGCTTGGTGCTGGTTCATTTCCTAACTGTTCATACAGCTTCCTCAAGAGCAATATGAAAGATTTGATCAGTACAACTCTGTCAGAACCGCACCACTCTAAGGCCAGAGTGATAACCGATGATAGCTTAATATGCAGATTGAATGCAGACTCCCATTCCGGTTCATATTCCATATGCTGACCGACTTGTCGAAGTACAGCATCCATGCATTGCATGCTGCAGAAGAGTGTGAATAACAATGAGATTCCTTGCAAAAAACCGCGTCTCAATTCGTCTGTCCATTCATCGGGTTTCGCGCTCAGTAAATATCGCAAATCGTAAAGTATATATTGAGCTCGTTTGAAAGAATGGTGCGGCATATTTCTTTCGAACTCTAATTTTCCAGCAGCATTACATCGTCGAGAGCTCTCGGAGACGAACGTGTTCAACAAAATAAACAACGCGTCGTGGTGCGCGATTAGCAGATGCGCCAGAGTTGGCACGGTAAACAGCTGAACGGAAAGCGAAACGATCGAAAACGCGTGATCGTGATCGTCTTTGATAAAATCTTTCATGACAGAGCCATAGTTATAAGTGAACACAATGGCAAGCGCTTTCTTGCTCTCATACTCCATGAGCATTCCAGATATGAATAATCTATGCCATGCTGTTCTGGCAGATTTCCATAACTGTGAATCTCTCGTGAGTATGCCCTCAACGATCGACGTCTCGGGTAGTTTCGTATTGAGCGCAATGTTGCTGAATAGTACGCGAAAGCCCTCGCAATGACTTATAAATTGTTGCAGCCAATTGAGCAGCCTCATAGCGAACGTCTGATGAGCTACTATGTGAGTGTGAAGGACTAGCACCTTGAGAGGACGATTACTATGTCTGTACGTGAATCTTTCAATGTCGACACGCAGTTCATTGCAATGTCGAAATACCGAGCACTTCACTACAGCCCTACCTTCTCTATCAACGTTAGTCACAAACTCTACAGCTTCCTTCTGCGAACATTTAATAACACGTTGGAGCATATTTATCACTTGATCAAAGGTGTGATGCTCATCGTTAAAAAGTACAGTGCAATAAGTGTCGAAAATGTCCAATTGATCAATCGCGTACGAGTAAACTGCCGTGTCTCTGACGCAGAGATTCGACGGCAGCGCGACAGTGTATCTTAATGTCAACAGTTCATAACAATATTCCAACACTGCTTCAAAAACCATCACTGCTCTCTCCGCTATATCACCAGGCAGCTTGTTGCCACGCGACTCTTTTGATTGTGTTCCTGCTAAATGTATCTTGCAAAACGGCTCGTTTTTCCAAGCTTCTGTATCGCCGCAGTCGCAGCATCCGCCACCACTGGATGTGCCCATCTTGTACTTGTGATTCCGATGAGCGGATTGTTTGAAACAGTCTACGCATAGGACACAAGTTGAATCCATACCACATTGCCTGCAACTATAGGTCGGTTCACCCATTTTAAACATTCTGCCACATATAGATGGTGGATTGTCCATCTTACTAAGCTCCTTCAAAACTATCTGCGGATCACCGCCGCACATGAATTCTTCTAGAGTCTTAAGGAGCATTCTTTGTGCTACTTCATCGTCGACGGTCCATTCCAAACAATTGCCATTACGCTCAGGACTATATATTTTTGGCACCCAAATTCGCCAATATTCTCTGAAATTATTACTTGTTAGCACTCCTTTGTTCATCTTCTCCATCCATACATCCACGCATGGTGTATTTGTATCTGGGAATACAGGCTGCATCAAAGCAGGATCCATGTCTTCAATGGCCTGAAGTGGCGGCTGATTTTCTATATTTTCGTTATTCATCTTGTCTCACTTAAACTGCAAGTACAATGTGTACTGAAAGTGTAAAAAAAAAGTTATGATTTATAGAAATGAGTCAGTCTGTTTCTTACACAAAGGATAAATTATATATATACACACATATATATATACATATATATATATGTATGTATATATGTATATATATGTATATATAAGTATAAATACTAACCAATAGTGTGTCACATTAAATATGACTGTAGATATAACCCAGGCAAATGTACATTTTAATAAGTGTTCTTATGTACAGCTGACTCATCCAATGTCTTATCACTATAAAACATCATTAAAATCTCTTGCAAGTCTTTTCTAGTCGAGATTTTACAGATTCAATAATCACTCCCAAAAAATCTTTATTGCAGTGTCATGTAGAATCATCATTTTAGTAGCTCACAATCTGAAAGTCATTTAATATAAATTCTCATGTACCCCAGAATAAATTTAAATATGGCGTATACAATTTTCAATCCTGTTGCGTATAAGAATATTCGCCAGAATTTACATATACGCGTGTATATACATACATACATACATACATACATACATACATACATACATACATACATACACACACACACACACACACACACACACACATATATATATATATATATATATATATATATATATATATATATATATGTACACACTCAACAGACACATATATATGTGTAGAATGCGTGGGTCCGAAATCCAAAATTAAAGGTACAGTAACACAAATACACCCACGTCACTCCGTATTGCGTTGCTAATTCTTCCATATGTATATGTGTGCGCGATATAGCTATCTCGTCAAAGTTCGACGAGAGGTTTCGGAACGATGACGTTCGGTGAAGAGTGTTGGCGATTTTTCGGCGCGACAGGATTATTTTTATCTCGCGAACGATACTCACTGCTGTCAACGCGAGAGAACGGGTCAAGGTTAATAAAAGGCGCTCCGTCCGCGATCATACAGCTCTCTGTCCCCTTGCGAAATCTCTCACGATCCGAATCCGATCGGACGACTGATCCGGTCGCGATCCGATTTCAATTATTCGCGTGATCCCAACGCGCGATTCGCGCTCGCGCTCGCGCGACACCGTACCCGCTACGCGATTTACACAACTACAAAGACTGACATTTCGCGACAACGTCCGATAAGCGATATCCTCGCACAGCTGCTGCAACAATGATGCATCAAAATGGCTCGCGATGGCTGGCGAGGCGTGCGCGGAATCCGCGCCGCGGATCGAAGTCATACAGGTACAAGAGGGATGATTGCGAATTATACAAAATCCAAATTGCGATGACACCTTTCCGGGTTGCGTTCGCAAATCTACTCGTCGAAATAGGACAGCGTTCGATTGACCAATCAGAAGGAAATACTCCTTTATTCTGATAGGTCGATAAACGTCACTCTAGTAGAGTAGATTATTAGAACGCAATCCTAAAGAAGAAAGGACGAGGCTGAGTATTTCTCCTCGATTTCAGTATTTTATCGTAGCATGACTTTATTCGATCTTGCTGCGTTCATGACCGTTTCCAGTTGTTGTCTTGTGTTCTCGACGTTGTTGTCCGATATCGTTGTCGTAGAATTGTAATCGTAATTCCTAATATGGCCAGCGAAAAAAAATCGGCGAAAGGGTCGTCGAAAAAAGAGAAATCCGCCGAGGAGATACTGACAGAGTTTCAAGTACTCCGAAATGAGCAAAGAATGTTGGCGAATAAACTGTCCGAGATGGAAATGGAATTGAACGAGCACAAGTATGAACCGATCTAACCTGTACACTTAAGATTTTCCCTTTAACAATCGGACTATTCTTGAATTGAAAGAAAGTTTAGGAGAGAGAAAAAAAAGAATTGCTCGCAAATTTTTAGTTTTGCGAAACTCGGTCAAATAACCTCGAGACAATCGATAGAACATAATTTTTTCACTGATATATTGTCATCCATCTGATTGATGTAACTGTTTCAGAATTGTTATTGATACATTAAAGAATGTAGATCCCAAAAGGAAATGCTATAGGATGATTGGTGGAGTTTTGTGCGAACGTACAGTGGAAGATGTCATGCCTGCTCTGGTGACAAATAAAGAACAGGTATAACTTGTTACGTTATTCACATTACGTTAATATTAATATTCTCTGGATTCTTTTTGGAAGAAGATATGATTTATATATATGTGTGCGTGTGCATGTATGTATGTGATAATAAATTTAAATGTATTTTCAGCTGTTGAAAGTGATAGATGCTTTAAATGATCAAGTAACAAAAAAAGGAATTGAGATAAATGAGTATAAGGAAAAACACAATATTAGAATCAGAGGGCAAGATGATTTGCAGCAACAAGAAGAAGATAACAACAACAAGGAAACCAAAAGAAAGGCGATTGTTGTGAATCCGATTGAGGTTTAAATGTAATAAATAATTATTTTCAGATATTTACATATTAAGACATTTCATATATGAAAATTCAAAGTCAATGACTCATATCTTTTTCTCTCAGTGTTGTACACATTTTTAAATTACCTTGTGTGCTTATTTATTATATCATTTTGATAAAGCTTTATGATGTCTTATCAGTTCTGTTAGATACCTGTTCCATAAATGAGTTTGTAAAGCAAATTGCAATATTGTGACATCTTGCAAATATATAAATTAGATATGTACAGTTCCATGTTGAACTTTTCATTATTTTTATTTTTAGGATTATGTATAAAAAATGAAATAAGATTAATATGTTTTCCTTCTCTCCATAAGATGAATATGTGTATTTATTTACTTTTTACCTATGCAAAAGAAATTTATATATGTATATATAATATATATATATTTTATACAAGAAATTTTACAAAGATATAAATAATAATTGAAATGTGGGACGGTTTAAAAGGAAAGAAAAATAATTCCATTATGCGTTTATTTTTTACAACGCACAATTATATATCTCTAAGAAGATTAAACAGTTTCAAAATATACAGTAAGAAACTTCGGTTTCGCCATATTTACTCCCGTAAAATTGTCCAATTGAGATGTTTGAGACATCTCATAGGGAATTGCGATAGCACGTGCTATCGCATAAAAGGGACTTTGCGCAATCGTCGTGCACAGATGCAAATTTATTTTCTGCTAAAGATACTCGGGAGTCTTTATCACTCTTTATTAAGAACAAACAATTGCAATATTTCGCGGATATCTCGCACGATGCGGTCCATTTCCGACTGATCTGAATTGACTCTTGCGAGCACGCGATCACTTTGCCTGCCATTGGCGTAGTGCTCTGAAAATTCTGCTGGACGTGTACGTGAAAAATTTACGATGGCGGCGATGTTGAAGGTTAGTGGACAGTGAATAAACAAATTACTACTAGAAAAGCATGGTAAATCCCTTTCATCTTAACTCGAAATAGAATTTCAACCGCGGAAATTGATATTATTTCATCCTCCAGATTACACGATATATTAAACATTTACATTGTAAAATACTCCAATATTAAAATTTATCTGGCATTAAAGTTCGAAAAATATATACATTTTTGTTTATCTTATCGTTCGTTTTATGCTGTATAATTAAACGGTTAATCAAATTTATATTGAATATTATATAATCCGAATGTTATTTTTATATGATTATATTTTAACCTTTTCTTTTTTCCTTATATATTTCAGCTAATTTTATCAAAATATTAAAATATATCCCTCAGCAATTTATTTTTCGTTTATTATTCTCATTTTTTTTTCAATGCATTTAACAAGAAATGATATATTAATATTTAGGATAAAGTACAAGCCACATTTGAAGATAAATGGCCATATATGCGACCGATTATATTGAAATTACTTAAGCAAGAACCAGTAACGCAGGGAGAATGGCAGGATTTATTTTATTCTGTTCACGTATGTTTATGGGATGACAAAGGACCTCCCAAATTACGTGATGCCTTGAAAGATGATATAATGGATTTTATACAACAAGCTCAACAGGTAAAAGAAAGCAAAAATAAGTAGTTTATATTAAAACTATTTTATGCTAAAGATTATTTTATGTTAAGGTTATACTTTTAGCGCACTTGCTCCATTTGTCTCACTAAAATAACAAAATATTACGTATTATGACTTTGCGCAGAGAGTTTTAGCGCATCAAGAAGAACAAGCATTATTGAAAGCATATATAGCCGAGTGGAGAAAGTTTTTTACGCAATGTAACTATTTACCAACACCATTTAGGCAATTAGAAGCATATCTTGCGGGGAAAACTAGCTCCAGCACACAAAAAAGGAATCAACCTGATGACATAGTTAGAAAGGTAAAGGAGTTATAATATTTATATATAATATTTTATAATAAAATATTAGATTAAAATATTAGACATTTTATAATAAAATTATTATATATTTTTATATATTATACATACTGACATGCATACATGCATACTTTATGTATTGTTATATATTATTAAGTATTTTTATATAATCTTGTTTCTTTTTATCATGTAGCTAATGTTGGATAGTTGGAACCAAAGTATATTCAATGAAATAAAACAAAGACTTCAAGATGCGGCCATGAGATTAGTACGAGCTGAAAGAAACGGTGAAGCGTTTGATTCTCAACTTGTTATTGGTGTCAGAGAATCTTATGGTAATTATAAAATATATAATATGTATTATAATTATATATACATATATATATATATATATATATATATATATATATATAAAGAAAAGAATTTTTTTCTTTAATAATATATAACATTTTATGTTTCAGTAAACTTGTGTTCGAATCCGACAGATAAGCTTCAAATATATAGAGAAAATTTTGAGGCAGCATACATTCAAGCCACTGAAGCATTTTATTGGGTCAAGGCTCCTGAATATTTATCTATGCACGGTGTGGAGAATTATATGCGTTACGCCGATTCGAAATTAAGAGAAGAGGAGTTGCGTGCTCAAAAATATTTGGAGCCGAATACCGCGAGTATGCAACGGTTAACGGACTGTTGCGTAAAAGTATTAGTCGCGACTTTTAAGCCAGCCATACTCGCAGAATGTCCACGAATGATACAACATAATCAAACTGACAGTGAGTAATTTCACTGTTTGTAATTTGCAATTTTGTTGGTTCGCGATTAATTTTATAGTAATATATGCCACTTTTCTGATCAATGATAATTAGTAAGATATCATTGCAGAGCTTCGCCTTATGTTGAAATTAATGGATAGAGTTCCCGACGGCGTTAGTCCCATGTTGAGAAATTTAGAAGAACATATCGCGAGCGCGGGTCTTACGGATATGATGGCAGCTGTAGATGTCATTACTCAAGATTCTGAAAAATACGTGGAAAGACTGTTAGATCTTTTCCATAGATTTTCCACGCTCGTTAAAGAGGCATTCGATGATGATCCACGGTTTCTTACAGCACGAGATAAAGCTTATAAGCTCGTTGTCAATGACGCCACAGTATTTAAATTAGAATTGCCTACTCGACAGGGTTCTGGAATCAGTAGTGCATCTGTTTTAAATAATAGACCTATTACTAACAACAATGGATTAGCTGAATCAAAGTGTCCGGAACTCCTTGCGAATTTCTGTGATATGCTTCTTAGAAAAACGCCTCTCAGTAAGAAACTAACTACCGACGAAATTGAAAGTAAATTGAAGGATGTGGTCAGTAAATATATATATAATGATATATATATAAATGTATTCATAGAGATCAAATCTTTCCAATGAAATTTATGTCATATTGCATTCTATTTTTTTAGCTATTAGTGTTAAAATACGTTCAAAACAAGGATGTATTTATGCGTTATCATAAAGCGCATTTAACTAGACGATTAATATTAGATACGACGACAGACTCGGAAAAAGAAGAAAATATGGTAGATATGCTTCGCGAAGTTGGTATGCCCGCGGATTTTGTTAATAAATTAGCTCGTATGTTCCAAGATATTAAAGTATCTCAGGATCTAAATCAACAATTTAAGGAACAATGTCGAGCTGCCATTGCAGATAGCATAAATATTAAGGTAACTATATGATTTGTTTTTTCATATATATATATATATATATATATATATATATATATATATATATATATATATAATGTGTTCTTATACTTGTATATAAATTTGGTATTATAAATTTAGCATTATAGAAAAGCTGTATGAGAGATATGTGTATAGTATGAATATTTTTAACTAAAAATATATCTTTCTACTTGTAGATTCTTAATGCGGGTGCATGGGCGAGAGGTAGTGAGCGTGTCACCGTGAGTTTACCGCTTCAATTGGAAGATTATATTCCAGAGGTCGAAGAATTTTACAAAAAGAAACATAGTGGAAGAAAGTTGCAATGGCATCACCATATGTCAAACGGCACGGTATTTTGCACATATTAATAAAATTCTACTTTTATTCAAGCAATATTTCCAGATGCATTTAGAAGACATTTTTATTTCTTAATTAATGCATATCTCATAACATGTTTCAGATAACATTTGCAAATAAAGTTGGACGTTTCGATATAGACGTAACGACCTTTCAAATGGCAGTATTATTTGCTTGGAATCAACGACCCAACGAAAAGGTCACGTACGAGAATCTTCGATTGGCTACTGAGCTTCCAGATCCCGAACTTAGACGGACTTTATGGTCTTTGTGTGCCTTCCCGAAGTTAAAACGGCAACTTCTTTTAGTGGAACCGCATGCCGCTACTCCGAAAGATTTTGCAAACGACACAAGATTTTGGGTCAATCAAGAATTTGCTATTGTGTTCGTATCCATTTTTTATATTAACACAAATGCTACACAAATGCTATATTAATTATATTAATTGTATTTTATTTTTTATAAAATATATCACATTTCATTGATTTCTCATATACATATATTCTAGAATTCAATATTTGTGTATGGGCAATGCAGATTGTTTCTTAAAATAATAGAAATTTATAAATGTATAATTATTTATAACATTATAGAAAAAATGGCAAGATGCAAAAGCGTGGAAAAATAAACTTGATAGGACGTCTTCAATTATCAACAGAACGTAGCAGAGAAGAAGATAACCAATCTATCGTGCAACTCAGAATATTACGAGTACAGGTATATCGTTTTTAAATAAAGTAGTATAATACAATATATACAGACATATCCATTGACATTTATTCACAGTTTATTTGGAGACCCAGCAAACATGATAATGTCCAAAAACTTCTTAATGACATATTATACGTCATTAAAACGTTACTAAGAAGAGACTTTAGACATCATGTTTGCTGGATTATATGAATAATTTTTATCTTCTTATATATGACTTCACAGGAAGCAATCATCAAGATTTTAAAAATGCGCAAGAAGATTACTAACGCGCAATTGCAGACCGAACTAGTGGATATATTGAAAAATATGTTTTTACCAAGTAAGAAGATGATAAAAGAACAAATTGAGTGGCTCATTGAACACAAGTATATTCGTAGGCACGATGACGATATTAATACATTTGTATATATGGCATAACACGGGATTATAAACACGTACAAGATTGTTCACGAACTATGGTTAATATTATATTTTTATAAAAAAAATTTAGTTTTGTCATATATGCGAGGATATACGTTCAAGTCTGCCATGCGCTATTATGTTTCATCTGTTTTTTTGTAACACAGTATGAAAGAAAGGAAAGACGATATTTGACTAGATTTTAAAATAAGATACCGATAAGACAAGTCATATTGCCTGCATTTGCCGATTATTATACATGAATAAAGTGAAATGTGTAGCAAAACTGAAGAAAATGTCGCAATAATAATAAGAAAGATGTACAACATTATGATAACTAGTATTTATCGTTTATTTTTCTGGACACTGATCTGTATTAATTTAATTAGGAAAGATTTGATTAAATTAAAAAGGAGAATTATCGGTAACGCGCGCCATCACTATTCCTCCTATTTATATATATTTTACTAAAAAGTATATATATATTCTTATAAAATATCTGTACATCTTGTTTTTAAAAACTTTTACTGTTAATTATATTTGTTAAAAAAAAATTTGGTTATAGTATTAATATAGAACAATTTGATATTAAAAATCAATCAATTAAATCCTTATCCACAAATCTGGACAACAGTGCAGTGTATATTTATACACTGCGTAAAATTTATTATAAAGTTTTACGTATACTTAGATTTATTCATCACTAAATATATAAGAGCTATTGCGAAAGAATTGGAATTCGAAATATTCTCTACATGGCATAATATATATTTAATTTATTACTAGAATTTATAATTTGCGGATGGCGTTCAAAGATATTTCCCATTTTCAAGATACACAAAAGCCCGACGAATAATGTTGTTCAATGGCCTATACTATAATATTTTAATGCATAAGCACGTACCTCGCAACACCAAATTTGATTTTAGCGATGATAGAAATATATGTATTTATATAATTTCTACATCTGAAACGTAGTTATGATGATTCGAATCGTCAAAATAATCGTCAAAATAGTTACTTAAGCAAATAATAACGACGGTTATATGTATAAAGCTTTTATATAACTTCAATAAGAGTGAAAGACGAGTGTAATGGTATATAAAATCTCAATGAATTAAATGACAGAATATTTCATAACTGTATACAATACGTTCTTATCAAATTTCATTGAATCTCTATTTTACCTATTATTATTATTATTGTTATTATTATATTATTATTATTATTATTATTATTATTATTATTATTATGCAATAAATTCCATGTGGCAACAATAGCGCTTACATATATCAGATTATATATATATGTGTGTATATATATATATATATATATATATATATATATATATATATATGTATATCAGAATATTTTAACGTAAAATAATTTGTATTTATATTTTCTTTTTTGATACAAATCATTTGTACATTATTTCCTCCGGTATATAATAATTATTCGTATATTATTTATTTAGATTTTCAATTATTCAGTAAAAGAAAAATTGAAATTAAATAACGCAGCAAAATAGTTTTACATTTTTCATCGCCGGGAGGATACAAACGACATACTACACACTATATAAAATAACTAAATGTGTTACTATAAAGTATTTATAAATATTCAACAATTATTTTTAGGTCACAGATCTTGCAATAACAGGAATTATATGTTTCACACATGTACAGAACAGTATATATACATATACACAATCACCACTGCCGTTATGTAAATCAGTGTAATGCTGATATGATCACATACGGTATCGATGTCTATTCTATTTTTTTTTTTATTTATTTATTTTACTAACTTAATCCTTAAAGAGCAAAGTGATAACAATAGGTGATTTCATAAACTTCATTGACAAGAGATCATAGATATAGATTTAGAATAGCATGTAATGTTCAAGCTAATATGAACTAGCTTCTACAGAAAACACACAGAACAAAGAATCACATGAGAATTTTTAGAACAATACATTCGTATACACACACATATCACGTACTTATTAATGTCATATACTTCTACAGATTTTTTCAAGCATGCACACAAGACTCAATTGGAAATTCACAATACAAGAAAATAATAATCTTAAAAGAATTTTCGAAAAAGAGAAAGAAAAAATATAGAAATAAATAAATAATAAAATAGAACTTTTTGATTCTGTGTGTCGAGCGATTATTCTAAAATTAGTTATTAGTATCTTTTATGTAGATTTACAATATTATGTTTTATTACATTATGTGTTTAAGAATAGAAATAACACACCGACAATGAGAGGTAGAATTGCAAAATCTCTGAATATATTTTCAACAATTTCCATCTTTGATTCATCGATTTTTAATTTTATCACATAGGACGTAATTTTTCACGATATGTACGATACAATATCAATTATTAAGAAAAACATAGACAATATAGGCCAAACTATTGGAATTTCTTCAACTGTTGGATTCTCTTCGCGTCGCGTATATATTGTCAGAAATAAAAAATATAAGCAATTCACAAATTTTCTCACAATGTGCAAACACAATTTTAAACTCTATTTCTTGATCAGTATATAACAATAAATATTTATAGAGAATTGATATTTATAGATCACTGTTATCCGTGGGAAGCTTGGTAAATATTATATACCAGATTTCATCGTTGTCTGTAAACTGTCAATCTTTTTATGATACATCACTTTTTTTTCATCATTTGGATCTAGCTACACACAATTGAATGTGTGAATTATAATCTTATTATATAATACCTTTTTTTTTAATTTAAAATCACTCGCTAGATGCGCTCTTTTTTCAGCTTGAATCTAGTTACTCTGCAGATTATAAGAGCCTATCAATGTATGATCAACCAAAAAACGGGAAAAGAAAAATTAGTGTTCTGGGCATCGCGTATGTTGAATACGAGGCGCATTTTTCGCCGAATTCGCACTCTCACAAACATGCACAACTATTCCCGGTTGTCCCGACCCTCCTGGATGTATCTCATGAGTTCCGCCTGTAATATTAATAATTATTTATATATAATCGAACATTATCGGATTTAGATAATAATCCCTTATCTCTTTTATTTTTACATAAAATATAAGTTCAAAATACCTGTGGATAAATTGGCTATAGCAGCTAATAAATCATGATTAACAAGAGGTTCTCCTTCTTCACGTGGTTTCCAGCCAACTGGTGGAGAAGCAGGAGGAGATATGAGGAACTGTTTGGTAAGAGCAGGTGGTTGCAGATGCTGATCCTCCATATCTGGAAAAATTGAGATTGTTAAAAAATTACTTACTCTTGTATCTTTTGTATCATTGAGAAAATGCTTAATCGTAAGATCTGAAAGTCTACATTATTTACAAACCTATAGGCGTCACTGGTTGTGCAAAATAACAATTAATATCAGTTTCTCCAAAATGCGTTTGATGCAAATGCAATCTTGCATTTGCTGCAGCATTGGGAGAATTATAATTTACCCTCATTCTTCTGAAGGATCTAAAGTATTGAAACGTAGCATCTTCTCCAAATTGTTTGAAAAGATTTTCTATGGCTGGCTGTAAAAACAGAATAACACTACAATATAACAAAGAAGGTTTGTCATTAATAATATTCCATGCAAAACTTTTATTACCTTTAAATCATCATTCTTAAAAACTCGAGGATCAACATTAGTAACAATTACAGAAGTTGGTAAGTCTTCATCATGAACCAACTCATCGATTGATCTAATATCTGTATCGTGGCTTTCTCTTTCAAATTCAAGTTCTAATTGCTCGTAATTTGGATGTAAATTTGGTAAACCATCCACTTCATTAATTATTATATTTTCAGTGTCTTCGAGTTCCTCCTCTCCTATCATGCCTCTATTACTGCATTTTTCTTCCATTTTTCCCTGCTGGATTTAAAAATAGGTAAGAATTATGGATTTAAAAATAGGTAAGAATTATAGGTTTAAAAATAGATAAGAATTATGAATTTAAATATAGGTAAGAATTATGAATTAATAAATAAAAATTCAAAAATTTAAGGTTTTGAAATATATATTCATTATTTAATGTATGAAATTAAAGAAAATAAAAATATTATAGATGACATTCTTTTACACTTATATAAATGGAATGCAAAAAAATAATGAAAACGAGATGTTATATAAACATATAAACATATAAACTAACTTATAATTGAAATATATTTTTAAAGAGCAAAAGAAGTATATGTTTTTTGAAACATATTTTGAGATATATCTTCCTTTCGAACTAATAAAAGTGCAGTGTGAGCGTTAGATTTGCTTTATTGACCACACAAGTGTCATCAGATCAAGTTCATTGTCATCAGAGCGCAAAAGAGCGAAGAAAATAGCATATACGTATATATGATTCAATGTTATCGCAGGTGACATTAGAAGAAATGCGATAAATAATGATAATGAAAGGTGCAGATGCATCTTTTTTTCTTACCTTCAAGTCGATCTCTAAACGAAGAGGAGATCAAACACCACGATGAATGTTTTCAAAACGCTTCTCCGTCACAAATATAATTCGTTACGTATGTAACATCTACACCATCTTAACGAATTTAATCGCGCAGCTGTCAGATATCAACATTCTCGAAATACATTCACTTCTATCCTGCTTTCGACGGCGTTCGCTATTTCATCGCTGTTATTATAACGTAAACGCACGTCATCGTTTATTTTACAACAGGAACAACCTCGCGCGTCCTATCCGTATCGCTATCCGATCGAATGCCATGGTCGAGGAACAGATTAGGGTAGGTTAGATGTGTACGGACACGGATAGGAGTGGAACTATTGAAAACTATTTGGGCGCAAGTGTATCCAAGCTTTTATTATATATAGGTACATATAATTGACTATAAAATAGAAAACTTGGCAATTTGCGAGATACACAAGGAACAGCTGAATAAATTCTTTATTTGACAGTCACGATTAAAATTTCTCATCAATAATTATTCAAAACGACATTTCCAAATTAATAAGTATGCATTATAACTTATGTTTAGATACTTCAAACATCCAAGTATTTTTTATTTAAATAATACAATCATTTTCATATATTATATATTTTTAATATATATAGATATATGTAAGTTAATTTTCTTTATATATATATGTGGAAAAATATCTTATAATATAATTATGATAATTAGGTTGCATTTTAATGTTTTTTATTATATTTATGTGATAGAATATTATAGAATACACAGACATCTTAATAGTATTGCACATAAAAATTTTTTATATAAATTATATAACAATTAACAAAAATTTTTTTTTATATATCATGTATATATAATTTATAAAAGCCAATATGAAATACAATAACTTGTAATTTTTTAATTTTGACAATATATAGACAATACTGATTAGACTTATATAACTCCTAAATATATCACAAATAATAATTATTAACAAAAATTGTTATAATTTAGTAATAACTAATACTTTGCATTTAATTTAACATGTTTTTGAAATACATTTTATACATATATATGAATATATATCTGTCTCTTTATATAATCTGAAATAACATTTTGTTAGTTTTAAATTTATAACTTACAAAAAAAAATATATAAAAAGGACCTTGTTCATACATTTCTATTATATGTATATTGATATAATGCATCACATGCATATTAATTGCAAAAATTTTTTCTCATTTGATTACACTTATTAAAAATATAGTTTCATCAAAGCATTGACTAGTTTGCATAGTGATTAAAATATTGTTTATAACAATTCTTTGCTTTTAGCAAAAAGTCACTTTTACATATAATTATATACTTGATTATATTGCAATGATAAAAGCAAATTACATATGGATTATATCACATATGTTATTTCACATTGATAGAAATATAAAAATTAAACAGAGAAATCATCAGAAAGTTTTAAACATGTGCTGAAATAGATACATATACTGATAATTTTCTTATAATAATTTATCTACTTATTGCATCGTAAGATATATACTAAATTATATAAGCATGTTTGCAAAATAAATATCTTATACTTTTTAGTTTTATCTAACAATTGATGCTTTGTTTCACAACATAATTTGTACTTGTGACATATATATGTCATCTACTTGTACACTGTTCCTACACATGTTTATTATTGCAATTAAAATTAATATCACTGTAACAAAAAAAAAGAAAGCATTTATAAGTCATATCATTGCAGGAAGATTCTTATTGTAAAATGCAACCACTTTCATTTTTCGGTTCCTTACTACTTTGATGAATTGCGTCTTCTTTAACTGGTGGTAGAGTTTGTTCCTTTCCTACTTTTGCTGCCGCTATTCCAGCTAATACTTTATACGTGCCCAAATTCCAAGTGGAGTTTGGTGACGGCATCTGGAAGTCGATTGGGCTGACTAAGCCATAAGTAGCTTTTGTATCCAAAGTTGGAACTTCTCCCGGTATTGTATGATGATATCTGATATTATTTTAAATTTTTCGATTAATAAATTTTGTTTAAATGTTAGATATTAAGATATGATACATAACATTATCCCGATAAAATAATAATATTTTTTACAAATAAATAAGATAATTACATCAAACCGTTCTCTCGGTTACATTTATCGAGAGTGAGTTTTACTATAGGTGCTAAGCGCTTAAATACTGCATGCTGATCTGGTTTAACGCGAGGCGCAGGTCCATGTGTTTTCCCATATTCTTGACATAACACTTTTGCTTTCTTTAAACATGAATCGCTTTCTTGCATCGCTCGTATCGCTTCGCCGCATTTATCCATTGCTAATAAATTTTCACCACAATAGTTATAAGCCTAGAAAGGGTTTATGGATAGCAAATATTTATGAATAATAAATATTTCTTATGAATAATAATAAATTACAAATCTTTTTGTTTGCATTTAAAATCATAAAATAATTATAAACTTTTTCACAAATTTTCAAGCTTACATAAGACTGGTAAAATGCTGCTTTTAGTTCCAAGTATTTTATCCATTGGGCAGATATTTCTGCCTTAAATGGACGTAGAGTGTTAGCAGCATCCAAAAATAGTTTACTAGTCTCATTAGCTAAAGCTGTTATCAAGCTAGAATTATGTTTGAGTTCTATTGCTCTAGCCACTGTCACTATAAAGAGAATTAAAAAAATGATATAAGCATAATTAAATAAATTTATTAAAATCATATACTTGAATACTATGAATATAACCTTCTTGTGCTTCTGCTGTACATTGATTAACATATGCATTTAGGACACGAGGATCTAAATCACTTCCTAATGGAGGTGGATTATCCAATTGTGGCAAAAACTCAGTCTGTACAAAGGTAAATATTCCTGCAGCTCGTCTTAACATGCTGTGTACTTCTTTAGCCTCGTTCATTGTAATGCTAAATATTGTAATTAATAGATTATTTTATCCTTATTTTTGACACAATATAATGTTATATAATATTAATTATTTAAAAATCTCTTTTATTTAATTCATGCTTACTCATCTTTTGCCGCAATCATAGCTGCATGCTTCATGAACCAAAGACCTATATTGATGCTCATGTTAGCTGCTTCATAAACAGAATCAGCACTGGAGCTTTAATAAAAAAAATTGTAATTTTTAATTGTGTATAATCTTGGAATCATTTAGAAGCCATATTACTTCATTAAATATTCTCTTTATAATTAATTACAATGTGCCTCCACCAAGTAACGTTTGAGTCCACTTAAATACAAGGACATTTCTGAGTTTGCTGGGATTGGGTCTACCAACATGTTGTGCTTCTTCTTCAGATGGTTTAACTTCCCACAAAAAGCCATACAACAAACTCAGATAACTAAGAAATGCAGGTTCTATTGTATCACTGGTATTATTTGCATTTTTGACCAAATCTAAAAGTCTTGCTCTTGACAGCTTCAAGTCACTGAAAATGCAAACTTTTTGATAAAAAAATATATATGTATATTTTTATTTATATTTTATTTATATACATATATATATATTTTTTTCATTGAGTAGTCTTATAGAATTTTACAGAATAAAATATATAACGCTCTAATAATTATGTATTCTCTTGAGAAATAATAGTTATCAGATTATAGCAGTTGTCAGTAAACAATATACACACGATCCATTTCTGAAATTTCTCTAACCTGCAGAGCTTCCTGGTGGCGTCCGTAGGATTCGAGACTTTCAGCTCGAATTTTTGGCTCGTTGTCGCTTTTAGCACATTGCGATGAAACCAGTGAGCCATCGCGTCGCACGAATTTTACGTGGAGACGTGGAGGCCACGGTATCGGTTATCGCGATTCCGATCCGATTTCACACTTGTCACTTTTGACAGATAAGCGTACGTACGCTACGTCGTTACGCTCAATGGAAGATATGCACTATATCGTATACTTTCTCGTAATACGATCTCGATGTGTATGCGTATGTGTGTAGTAATAGTTCGTTCAAAAGATGGACAACAACATGGCATGGCCAATCAGATTCGCCAACACACATTTTCATTCACAAACTTTTCTTCCCCCTTGTCCAGAATGGCACGTTATATGTTCCTTCAGTTGTTTTCTTATGTATCTATACATTCACGATTCACTTGGATCGTACCATTTATCATTGTAATGTAAACACGTGCTATTATTTAAAGTAGACGCATAACATAATTTATTTGTCGAGGAGCATCGAGGAATTAACAAGAGATTAAAAATATGACACGTTCAATGTGATTGAATAAAAATACGAAAATAAAAGGAGAAATATTATTTGTAAGAAATATATCAAGAGAATCAAACAAGTTGGCTGAGATTTGTGGCGTTTATATATGAACTGTTTCTCCATATATCCTCGATGAATTGAATACTGATCTCTTATTCGGTTGTCCGAAATTATACACAAAGCGTAGACTGATATACAAATCGAGAACGTTAAAAAGTATTCTATCAAGAACGTTTAAAATATCTTTAGAATTCTTTAAATTTCTCTAAAATACTAAATAAAATGAGACAAGAATGATTATGTGATACAAAAAGTTTGTTTATTATAAAAAAGTGCTTTTAATGCTGTTACAAATATATTTTAACAAACTCCACAAAGATAATAAGTGATAAGATCCTCATTATATCTGTGATTTTCCATATTTATTCCAGATCATAAAGTTTCATAGTGTAAAAATATTTTAATTAAACATATAAAACACGAACAAGAAATTATAGAAATGGAAACATCCTGGTTTCCTCGTCTGGTTGCTCATCATCCATATATAATTTTGATGGTGGTTTTTGCATTTTCATCGATATGTCTAATTATTCCTCTTACAACTAGAAAGTTTCCAGATTTTTCGGATCCTCAAATGGTATGTATAAATATGAATCTGTTTAAATTTGAAAAAGTTATTGATATGTCATTGATATTTAAAATATGAAACATTTATATCTCATAGGGTTTTGAAGCAAGAGGTACAGTTTTATCACAAAGACTTACAGCTTGGGATCATTTAATGGAAGCTACAAAGGCAAGAGGAGAACTTACTGATAATCCTATTGAATATCACCAATACATACGTACTCAACTAAATCAACAGGTGTTTATTTTACAGTATTTTATTATTCTTATTCTTATTTATTTCAAATACATATTTTATATATTTATATATTTATATATTTTATATATTCATTACATATTTTATATATTTATCCAATTAGATGGTTTTATTTATAAATATATATTACTATAAGAATGAAATAATTAGCAAGAAAATATATATTAAAACTTTAACTTGATTTTGCAGTCTAATATGCATACACAAAATCATAGTTCGTCTATTCAGAATACTCACAGAAAAAAACAAAAAAAAAATAAAAATAAACGAAAAGGAAAAAAACATCAAAAGCAACTAAATGATACAAGTTTAATAGGAATAAACGAGAATAAAGATAAATGGAATGAATTAATAGAAATGAAAGATAAACATGATATAAATGTTACAATGGATGACAAAAATCAGAATCAGTTTGATAGTGATAATTTTTTCTGTAATTTACCAACTTCTTCATACGCTCGTGTTGTAATTGCTGTGAATGCTGAAGAGAAAAATCTGTGGTCAATGGAAGGTGTATTAGCTCAATGCCACATCGATGGTGTACTTCGTGCAAATGCTCATTTTTCATCTCTTTGTCAGACAGAAGAGCACAATAGTCATAAATGTTGCAGAAGCTGGTCCCCAGCTAACTATGTGGCACTTTTATCCAATCGTAGTTCTTGCTTAGGAGTAACAGAAAATGATTTGATTAAAGTGAAAACGCTTTTGCAACAGTGTGCTCATTATTACCATAATCATAAGTTATTGCCTAATTGTGCAGAAGATTTTAATTGCCAAAAACATGTGCCAACTGAATGTTACATGAGAAATGCAGCTTACCATTTATTGCACTATCTTTTGGATGTTAATTTTATTCCGAATCCGGTAAGAATATACCTCGCTTTATATTGTTTCATGGTACAAAGGATTATACTTGTTCATTATAAATTTCTAATATTTCTAATATTTATTGTTATATTGTTACAGAATATGGATTCGAAAAATAGACAAAATTTGACATTGCAGTCTGCCATGTTATTTCTTCCAATTGCAGCAAGCTCTGCAACTTTAGATTTTTATAAAACGATAAAGAACAATGATTTAATGTATGGAAATTTTCGTGTTCAAGGCATGGAACTTGGCCTAAAAAGTACATTGTTTGATCGACTATTAGTATCTGATTCAAGTTTGGTACTCCTTGGTTTTATCTTCATTACTTTCTGTATTTGGGCATACACTGGCTCTATAGTGTTGACCATAACAACAATATTCGCAGTGGTATTTAGTCTTGGTATTTCGTTTGCAGTGTATACTCTAGTTTTACGTATTGAATTCTTTCCCTTTATGAATCTACTGGCTATTGTTGTTGCCATAGGTTAGTATTTTATATTATAAAATATATATATTTTTATATTTTTTTAAAATAAATTTTATACAATTAATGATATATATATTCATCTACAGATGTTATAAATATATTATTGTGATGAAATTATGTTACAGGCATTGGAGCAGATGATGCATTTGTTTATTGTAAAGTATGGGAGTCTGGAAAACAGCAGAAACTTTCCAATGGTGGATTAGTACATTTAGTACAAGTGACAATGAAACATGCTTTTCCATCTATGTTTGTCACATCCCTCACTACAGCTGTAGCTTTTTTTGCATCAATTGTTAGTAATGTGACTGCTATCAATTGCTTTAGGTATTCATTTTATTACACATAAATAAATTTTTTTAATATATATTTAATACTTTCTTAAAGTATGTATATCTCTTATATACATACTCTAATAATTTTATTACATAGTTTATTTGCAGGCATGACAGTTATTGCTAACTTCTTCTTGATGATTACATGGTTACCAGCATGTGTGATTGTATCAGAGCATTGTAAATTAACTACGTTGTCGCCTGTCAATTTTATTACCAGAAAGATTATTCGTCCCCTACGATCTTTGGGAAATAAAGTAACAGTAGGATTTACCGTTTTTCTTACTGGAATAGTGATTCGCCTACGATTTTTATGGTTACTAACTTTGGGAACTATGGCAATAGCATGTTGCATTATTGTCTTCCATCATCCGGGTCTGGAATTGCCGGATTATATTGATTTTCAATTATTCCATAACACGCATCCATTTGAGCGATACAATTTAATATATTCACAGAGATTTTGGTTTGAACGACACGAAATGGTACCTATATATTTATATTTATTTAAAGTTTATATTTTTACATATATAAAATGTGTATATACATGTAACATATATATTTGATTAATACAGATTGGTATGGACGCTGAAGTTTTACCTTTGCGATTTGTATGGGGCATAAAACCGATCGACAATGGTGATTACCTTAATCCCAGTAAAAAAGGAACGCTAGAATATGATACAACTTTTGATATTTCTAATCCTAAGTCACAATTATGGCTCGAACAATTTTGCAAAAATTTACGGAGTCAACCCTTCTATCGTAGTACTATTGGACCTTTGGGACCGAATTGTTTCATCGAATCGTTAGTTTCATGGATGAAGAGACGTTGTAAAGATCCCGTTAACCCGAATATCGAATATTTACCGTGTTGCGAAAGTAGTAAATTTCCATATACACCTAATGTTCTACAGCAGTGTGCGGCTGAAGTTAGTACGGAGATAGTTCGCACGCCTCATTTGTGGATTAGAGATGGTGCGATTTCTGCAGGTCTAAAATTTTTAAAGGAACCAGAATTGTCCTCGATGACGCCGAACGATACACTTTCGCTTAAAGTAACACCTAAAATTAAAGCGCTTGTTGTTGAATATGATAGCACTTACATGTATACTCTCTCATTTACGAACATGGATAAATTTTTTCATCAAGTAAGTGATATTATTTATTGATGATAATTATCTATATATAGACTATAATAGAAATAGTAAATTTTAATCTTTAAATTTGAATAGGTTGAGAGTTGGATGCAAGATCAATTACAAAGTGCTCCTAGAGGCATGCGAGGTGGTTGGTTTATTAGTTCATTCGAGTTTTATGAACTACAGCGCACTTTGTATGAGGGCACTATATGGGCAATAGGATTGTCATTAATTTTAGCTCTAATAGTATTAGCACTAGTTACTCTAAACCCCGTCATCAGCCTATATGCCATTGTAACTATTGGTGCTGCGATAATAGTAACAATTGCTATACTTATTCTTCTCGGTTGGAAGCTCAATGTCTTAGAGAGCGTTGCAATATCTACAGCTATTGGTAAAGAACGATAAAGCAAATAATTTTAAATTTATAAAAATGTAAAATATTCCTAAAATTGATTGAATATATACATTTTATTATAGGTCTTGCCGTTGACTTTAGTTTACATTATGCCGTGAGTTATAGAGCCTGTATTTCTGAAAGAAAAGTGGACAAGGTAAAAGCGGCGTTGCAACAAATGGGCGGTCCAACTCTTATGGCGGCGATTACAAGCGGAGCTGCGGGCGCTTTAATGTTACCTTCTCATGTATTAGCATATATACAAATTGGTATCTTTTTATTACTCGTGATGGGCATAAGTTGGATATATGCCACATTATTCCTATGTCCGATGTTAGCAGTTATGGGACCGTCTTCGCGCTTCGCTCAGTTTGAATATTCTAGGTAATAAGCTTGTTATATACATTCAATTAATCTTATATCTATATAATGTATTTCAGGACTCTAGTAATGCAATCGAGCACATTCCACGATATAAATTGTAATAATTAATGGTAATGGTAATGATAATCTCCTATAAATTACAGATTAAAAATGTTATTGAGCTGTTTTACTAAATATGAGGATGATAGCGTAGTTGAAGCCGACAAGGATAACAATCGAGCGAGAAAAGCTTATAAAGGACGTGGAATGCTGTCGGAATCGACTCTAAGCACATCCAGCTCTGTATGTCAATTTCATTGCAGTGAATTGGAAACTCTTGCAGCAAGACCTCCATCACCATCATCTCCATTATCAACATTACTTCGTTGAAATATAATTATTATTATTCTTTAAATCTAAATTATTCTTTCTAGGAATATCAATTTTTCATCTTAATAAATCATGTACTTTTTCAGATTGTATGTAAGACTATCCATATGTGTTATCTTATATGTAGATGTGACATCATATAATTAATGTGACTGTTGGCTGTGTTCAAATAGCTTTAAGGTCATCATTGAGATACATATGATCTATCATTCATCTACATATATGTGCAATGCACATAAATGCATGTACATCGACACATGTATGTATATATACATATATACAATTTTATAATATGAAGTTTCTTCTATATATTATATAAATATAAAATAGTTATATTATATAACTATAAAATTTTATACTTATATAATATAATTATAAAAGTAATATAACACATTATATGTGTGTGTGTATATGTATGTACATATACATTATTATTAATTAATTATGAAATTACATATTAACTCAAACTAATAAGTATATTAACATCTCTTTTATATTATTCTATAAGTTTAGTTATAATTTGTAAGAATGTCATGTTATATAATGTATGTGGATATAAATCTAATGTGTGTCAAATAATATTGTATGGATTTGAATCTCAGTGATAGTCGATTTTTTCATCAAATATATTTATGAACACTCAGTATTATACATCAGTATTATATAGTAATTAACAATACAAGTATAAATGTAAAGATATCATCTTCTATTTTAGATATTTACCAATTATTTGTCACATATAATTTATATCAGAATAGTAATAAAAGTATATATTTGTATGCATATATATTTTATACTTTTTTTGTAACACTTTTATTATATTATACAATTCGATGTTTTTTGATACAAAATGATAGAAATTATTTTTTCCTTAAGAATCTTGGATATAAGTTACGCACAATTACATATTTCTAAGCTGTATAAAGTGATATATTATTAAAACAAAATTGTATCTGATATTGTATATATATTTTAAATGACAGATAACAGAATGCATTAAAAAAAGTGTAAATCACAGATGTCTATATATTAGACGTAATATATAGACGTCTGTGGTGTAAATACATATGTTGTGTGTAATGAAATTTAAAATTAAATGTAATAAAATTGATTCTCTGTATCATATATGTTTATCAAATGTTCAATGTGTGTGTGTGTGTGTGTGTGTGTGTGTTGCAATGATTTTTTAATTTTTAATTCTATAATAGTATACTTGTTGAAACAATTTTTATGTATATAACAGTATGTATATATATATATATATATATATATATATATATAACATTTTTATGTACATAACAGTAGTAGTATTCGATTTATTTATGTACATGTTTAATTTTCCCGCTTTTTTGTGCTTATGTTAGATTGCGTTCAAAAATCTATTTGTTTCAGAATATTTGATTGACCAATCAAAAGAAGCAAAGATTTCTTGTTTCAGACCAGAGAGAAGACTGAGGTGCCTAAAAGCAGGCCATGACATCTCTCGTCTTTTCTCTGTTTCAGACACTTCAATGAATAGATTTTTGAACACAACTTTAAAGAAACAAATACGAAATTGTAGCGAATTGCTATGGCAACAAATATACAAAACATGTGTTCTGTGATTATAGTTTCTAATATTTGTATCGTACATATCTGTATGTATACATCTGCTTTTGGTCATGGGACATGATAAAAAATATCAATTTAAAAATTTGTGAAATTGCAATTATAGAATTGACACATCATGTGAAAACATGTAAAGATAAAAGATCTTACCGTAATTCAATTGCAGATGTATTTTATGTATATTGATATAGTGTTACAGATACATGCTATAAACGAAAAAGCGGAGATATGTAGAGATAAATTAGCTTTAAATAAGCATACAATTTTTTTTATACTGAAAGAGTTATAATAATTAGTAATCCCTCATGCATGGCTTAAGGTAAAAGACATTTTTTATTTTATTTGAATATATATATATATATATATATATATATATATATATAATTTTTTTTTTAATAAAAAAAGGACAATATATACAATAATATATTAAAATTTATTATTTTGCAAATTTAAATTTATAAATATAAAATATTAGATCTAATATTAAAATTCTACTTATTTAATAATTGCATAATTAAGTTAGAAAATTTATATTATTGTTGCTTATTATATATTTTTATTTGTAATATGTATATATCTTTAGAGCAGACCACAAATCTCTTGGAGGACTCGGCACGAGTCGATGGTTGGAAGCACTTTGGGAACCAAGTGTTGGTTTATTTGCTTTACCAGGTGGACTTGATATGTTGGATGTAAGTGGTGATGGAGATGCTAGACTCATCTGTGCTGATCTAGGACCAATAGGAAATGACTTGACAAAGGTTACAACATATACATTATATATTTTATAACAAAGTTTATATTACTTATATTCTTTTATACTTTCTAATGTATTATTTATTTTTAGATACGAGTATATAAAGGAAGTGATCAAATAACTGAACATAACATGGTAGATCCACCTTGTGGTGTAGTTGGTTTTTATACAGAAAATGGAGAACTTCGCTCATCTGTAGTAGCTGTAGGAGCTGGAGCCAGTGTATATATTTTCAAAAACATGAGACCTTTTTTCAAGTACTGTCTGCCACATATTGACGCTCATCCAAAAGAACGAGAAGTACAGTATATAATAATATAGAGTTACTTCTTGATTTGATCAATTTTATGCATGTTTTGGCATAAATAATATTTTAATAATTTGATACAGATTTGGCATAAATGCGGATTGGACGAGGAATTAAATGTGCTTACTCTCGCGGATGATTTGGAGTTATTGCTAAAAGAACTCGGGGCGTCATTTCTTTCACCTCGCACATTAAAATTTCTGTCTATGGATAATAATTTACGATTGAGCTTCGCGGAACAATATAGAAGAGTTCCGCTTGTCAAAGCTAACGCCCTAACAGCGATTGCAACCATCCGAAGAGATTCATGGAATGATCCTGCTAGTAGTTGTTTAATATTAGGAACTGAAGTTGGTGAAATTCTCATTTTGGATCCTAGGTATTTTTCTTGTATAATTAAAGCAAAATGTGCGCGTTCGTAAAATAATATTTCATGAATACCATGTATTTGTATTTCTATTATGGATATTGTTTAATTGCCACACAGAGCTTTTTCAGTTATGGATAAACATCAATTGGAATGGCCACCAGTGGCATTTGCCAGTTGTGGTTTATGGACTGGCGATGGTCGCATAATGATTATTGGAAGAGATGGAAAAATAGGAGCAATTAGGAGAGGAAGCCCTGTGAAACTTTGGGAAACATTGCCAGCACCAGCAGTAGCTATTTCTGTTCTTACTTCCGAAGGTGCGGCAGTAGCTGTTATGGATGGTACTTTAATAGGATTTTCAAAGAAGGTATGTTTGAATACATATCTTCTCAGAGAGAAGTTTTTATGCATTTTTGATTAATAATGACAAGCACTATATAAAGAATACAATATAATTACAATATGATGTTCAATGTGTGTTAGATTTTTTCGAATATATGAATTTTTCACAGGGGATAAAATTATGGTACATTAGTATTCCTGGCATAATATTAGATTTAGTGAGCTTACCAGTACCACAAAGCGGATTATCTTTGTTAGCTGTAAGCACAGCAGGCTATGGAGTGCGCATTTATGATGGGAAACATCATGTAGATACAGTGAAGATTATGGAGCCTGTATCTGCCCTTAAGGTACTATATATATAAAATATATCTTATTAAAAGAAAATTAATATGCTTGTGTGTTTTTGATATACAATATATATATATATATATATATATATATATATATATATATAAGTAAATTTCACTTTCAAAAATATAGTATGGACGAATGGGACAAGAAGAACGAACAATAGCTATGATTACTGTTGGCGGCGGTTTATGTATGAAGATCCTAAAACGCACTGCTGATTTCAATGTAAATAATTCAGTGTCGAATTCATTATCATGCAATACATCGAAGTTCTCGATACCGAAGAAAACACGACTATTCGTTGATCAGACGATAAGGGAGAGAGCAGAAGCGAAGAAAATTCATAACACTTTTCAGCAAGGCTTTCTTCGTTTACGCTTAACAACCGCTAAACAAGCTTTCGAAAATTTAAATGAAAATCAAACAACAGGACCGAATCCTATCACATTGGAAGCAAATGTCCTTGGTTTGGGTCCCAATTACATGATTCGTATTCTAGTGACAAATATCTCTGAAGGTTTATCCTATACAGAATTATATATTCTGTGTAGACCAGAGGATACTGATGTGAATCCTCGTGTGATAGATTTGCCTTTGCTACCAAGCGCTGTACCCATATCTCTAACTGTTAGTGCAAACTTAAAAAGTCAAATATCAGGAAAAATTAAGATATTACTATGTAAGAAATCAAATCCAAAACCTTTAGGTGTAACGACTGTAATACTGCCAGCTGCTGAGGAAGATTTTGAAATCTAAGAAATACAATTATTTAAATTTTTTAAGTGAAAATTATCACTTTATATGTTAGAATTTATCATTCTTTAGAATACAAAATTTGTCTTTGACATTTGGCTTTTGGCATTTGTTGCATGTTTGTGTGTATTAATCTATATACGATTAAAAACTTAAAAAATGTCAATAAAAAATAAAACTTATTTTTTCTTATTCTCTTCTATTTCTTATAGTACTGATTGTTATAGATTTCATAATTTTATTTTTCATTTTTTTTAAATCTATGATTTTGTTGTAATTGAATTTTTATCAATATTTTTCATTAATGATTCATTAGAGAGAGAAGCGTTTTGTTTAATGCTATAAAGCGGCCTTTTCATTGACGCTACTTTTTAGCGTCAATGAAATTGTACCTTAACAGTTGGCAGCCCTACGAGATAGGCTGTGCAGCACTGCGCATATATAAAATAAATTTGAAATCGCTTCTAGCCTAACCATCTTCACGCGATCGACTTTATTTGAATTGCACGGCATCGCATCGAATTATGATGCGGCGCCGATTTGTTCGAACGTAATTCGGGACATCGCGATGCTGTATAAGCATCGAATGAGCACGAATTGTCACGCAAATATGATAAATCACATCTACTCACCGTTCACCGGCTGTTCCACAGGCCGCTCCACTCGCTCGCCTCGGGACGTCCCATTCCGATCTTGATGCACACGATATCATCAACGCGCGACACTTTATTCGGCACTCCCGATATTCGCTCGCATCCGATAATCATCATCAAAGGCGCAAATAACGCGACGCGACTTCGCTCCATCTTCGCGATCGCGCTATCACTGAACTGTCGAAAACGGCTGTCGCGCGACATATTATGAAAGTCGCGCGATCATCCTAGGACACTTTCGACGCTCTTTCACTCGCGATATTCGTTTAAAAACGGTTAAAAGACGCGAAAAATGCGGACATACGATGATCCGTGTAGCTGCGTATGACTCCGATTCACGTATGACGCGTATGACGTAGCAGTGACCCGTATGACGTAGCGACACGCGCTAACATGGCGGCCGAACCAGTGCGCAGAAACGAATGCGCACTGGTTCGGCCGCCATGTTAGCGCGTGACTGCTACGTCATACGCGTCATAGCTACGTCATACGTGACTCGGAGTCATACGCAGTTACACGGATCGTCGAACGTCCGCATTTTTCGCGTCTTTTAACCGTTTTTAAACGAATATCGCGAGTGAAAGAGCGTCGAAAGTGTCCAAGGATGATCGCGCGACTTTCATAATATGTCGGTGAAAGTGCGCGACAGCCGTTTTCGACAGTTCAGTGATAGCGCGATCGCGAAGATGGAGCGAAGTCGCGTCGCGTTATTTGCGCCCTTGATGATGATTATCGGATGCGAGCGAATATCGGGAGTGCCGAATAAAGTGTCGCGCGTTCGCGTTGATGATATCGTGTGCATCAAGATCGGAATGGGACGTCCCGAGGCGAGCGAGTGGAGCGGCCTGTGGAACAGCCGGTGAACGGTGAGTAGATGTGATTTATCATATTTGCGTGACAATTCGTGCTCATTCGACGCTTATACAGCATCGCGATGTCCCGAATTACGTTCGAACAAATCGGCGCCGCATCATAATTCGATGCGATGCCGTGCAATTCAAATAAAGTCGATCGCGTGAAGATGGTTAGGCTAGACGCGATTTCAAATTTATTTTATATACGCGCAGTGCTGCACAGCCTATCTCGTAGGGCTGCCAACTGTTAAGGTACAATTTCATTGACGCTAAAAAATAGCGTCAATGAAAAGGCCGCTTTACACACTGAAAAAGTTGAAACTGTTTGAACTTTATTTTATTGACGCCATATCAAGAGAAAGTCTAGTGATTTTAATTTGCCGCTGGTTTCTAGCGTCAATGAAATTGCACCTTAAAAGTTTTGAAGCACTTGATTGGTCAACCGGAACAAGGATTTTTTGCCCTTCTCCTATTTTACACGATCAATCAAATGATACAAAATTTTTATAAAATCATTAAAATCCTATAATTTAGAAAACTAAATTAACTAAAAAATCGAAGAGAAAAAAAAAAAGAAATTTGAGTTGCCACAGAGTGGCGCAGCGATAATTAAAAATTTTTTATACACTCGACACTTGACGTTTGTTTTATGTGCATTGTGCATGTGGTGTGTGACGTGACAGTTTATAAAATATGGCGGACTCTGCAGGAAATTGGTGTCTCATTGAGAGTGATCCTGGTGTTTTTACAGAATTGATTAAAGAATTCGGTAAATATATTTCCAATTATTTCAGATTATATGTAATAAAATTGATCTAATCCATAGTAGATTTTTTATGCATTATTTTTATGACAGTATAATTATAAATTGCGTTTGTTAAGGTTATATATTCGTGAATAGCAAATAATTGATACTTTTTTTTGTTAAATCGCGGAAAATCTTTTTATTTCGTGAATATTACAAAATCGATTCACATTAGCATAAGTATGCGCATATACATATATAATCTTTTCAGGTGTTAAAGGAGCACAAGTGGAAGAATTGTGGAGTTTGGATGATGAGCAATTTGATGATTTGAAGTGAGTGTATTTTTTCATAATAGAAGAATTTGTGATTTTTATTATATTATCTTAAAGGAGACAACTCCATATGTGTAAAAGATTAAACATCTTCAATATAACTTCAATATATTAATATATATATATACATATATATATATATATATATATATATATATATATGTATATATATGTATATATATATAGTAACTATATTGATCTTTATAACTATACTTTGTTTTTATTCTGCCATCTTTTTATGGCAAGAGCATATATTTGTTTCAATATGCAAAAGATGTGAAACATGTATACTAGATAGAAAAAAATAGTAACATATTAATTTTATATACATTTATATATAATATTAATAATTTTGAAGAAATTACCATACATATATACATATCTATCAACGTTGTATGAATTTATATAACATGATTTCTCGCTCTCTCTCTCTCCCTCATATATATATGTACATCTTGATGTACATATTTATTTATTTATTTTAAATATATTATATATTATATAATATATTAAATATTATAAATAATTTCTGATAGGCCTATTCATGGTTTAATATTTTTATTCAAATGGGTACAAGATGATGAATTATCAGGAACTATTGTACGCGATCATAGATTGGACAAAATATTTTTTGCAAAACAGGTATGTATATGATCATGATTTTGATTATTTGGTCAGATTTATATTGTGAGGTAAATTTATTTATTTATGTGGGTTGTTTGCTTACATATACACAATATACAATAGAAATTAAGTTTATATAGAGCTTACTTTTAAAGTAATGTCTCTTGTGCTTAGGTAATAAACAATGCCTGTGCAACACAAGCAATATTGAGTGTTTTATTAAATTGTAAACATCCAGACATATCTTTAGGACCAAATTTAGAAGAATTTAAAAATTTCTGTCAAAGTTTTGATGCAAATATGCGTGGACTTGCTCTCAGTAATTCTGATGTCATAAGAGAAGTACATAATTCCTTTTCTAGGTATGTATTCTTTAGGTAACTGTTAAACAATTATTAATATCATAAATATGACTGTATTGTAAACTCAAATTGTAGACAAACCTTATTTGAATATGACTCAAAGCAAGCATCCAAAGACGATGATGTGTTTCATTTTGTGAGTTATATTCCGATTGATGGTCACTTGTATGAATTAGATGGATTAAAAGAAGGTCCAATTGATTTATGTCCTTGTCCAGTGGGAGAACAATGGGTACAAGCTGCAAAGCCTATAATTCAAAAACGGATAAATAAGTGAGTTATAAAATATAGATATATTTTAATAATTTTATTCATATAAATATGTAAGTTATTTATTTGTGGATATATATAAGTTATTTATTTATCAAGTGTATAAATAAAAATATGAATGTTATTACGAATATAGATATAATGAAGGCGAAATCCATTTCAATTTGATGGCTATAGTGACAGATAGAAAAACTTTATATGAAAGACAGAAAGCTAATGTCTGCGATCCTGCAGAATTAGAACGTTTACAAGCACTAATTGAGGAAGAAATAAGAAAATCTAAAAGATATCAAATAGAGAATATCAGAAGGAAACATAATTATTTACCACTTATTATGGAACTTTTGAAGATTCTTGCTAAAGAAGGCAAGCTTGTACCTTTGTATCAAAAGGCAAAGGACAAAGCATTAGAAAAGGAATCTAAAAAAAATAAGGTGTAAATTTATCTAAAGAAAAAAAATTAAACTTTATGTGGTTATTGAAGAACATAATTCACTCTGTATCAATCCTTTTTTTTAAATAAATAATTATTTGTATAATGTTTTTATTTCTATTTTTATTTTTCAACAATTTAAAATACATTAGAGTAGAATTGAGGAGTATTAAAATATAATACAAGAGATTAGATTATTAATGTTACAATCAATACTATAATCCTAATCATCATTGTCGGCTATAGTTACATTATTACTGTCTTTTTCATTTAATAAATAAATCTTTTTATTTTGATATATAATTCTAGGTAGGAACTTATCTGTTGGAGCCTCTTTAATTTCGGGGATTTTAGTATGATATAGATATTCTACAATATCTGTAAATATAAAAGTTTTCATATAATATAACTTTATTCATAATTTTAGAAATATGCTTTAAATATTATTTTATGTTACCGGCAAAGTTTTCCGAATTTTGCATATTACATTCTTGAATTAGGTAAAAAAAAGTTCTACAAAGAAATGTTGCAGTTGCTCCATCAAAATATCGTGCGACATTAGACCATATAATTTCACGAGTATTTGCTATTCCTTTTTCATACATACTGAAATAATGAATTATTTATATATATATATATATATATATATATATATATATATATATATATATGATTATATAACATGTAATGATTCAATAGTGTTTGTTATATGTTGGAATCCATTTATATACTTGTAATGAATATGCAATAAATTTTATGTGATACTTACTATTCAATTAATTGTATCTTAATATCATTTAAATAGATAGCACGTGAACTAAATAATTGCAGATGCAACTGATGTTGCCAAAATGTTTTTAAAACGTTTTCAGGTATATTTAATTTCTCTTCCATTTTTTGCCACACTGGCTTCGGAATTATAGCACCTTTTAATTCCTTTATATTCTCACTTAATGTTATATTAAGTAAAGTTTTTATAAACTTTTTGATTAATGGTAATGTCCATTTAATATTTGGTAATGCTGTAATTAAAATAGATAACTTTAGTAATATACAGATGTGAATCTTTCAAACATCTAGAGAAAAAGAGAGAGAGAGAATTATAAATATATATATATTGAATGATATAGTATCACAAAATACCTACATTCTACTTCTGAATCTTCAATCTTTTTGAGATATTGATATCGTTTAAGAATTGATCGTCTTGTTCGTTTTAGTAACTTTGCCAATTCAACATATTTAGTGTCACGCTGATCGAGATATTTATTCCGTATATACATTAAAATTTTTTTGTCTTCTTTTGAAGAATATCTGAAACAGAAAAATTATTGTATAATATATGTGTAAAAATTCAAATACAATTTAAAATCTGTATCGTACCGAACATGAGTAATTTTTTTACAATATAATATTTTGAATCTGGAATATACACTATATAAAGTCCGCCAAGGTAATCCATTTGCCAAAAATTGTACAAATTTTTGTCTTTCTTTCACATTATGTATATAATATTTTCCATTATGTCTCCAATTAAGAAATGGTTTAACAATATTTTTGTCCCAATCATGAAGCTATATTATATAATATAAAAGATATTATAACATATTAATATATTAGATTATATTACATGTTGTATATAGTACATCTAAAACAGATAACTATATACCTGGCAAAATGTTTCCCAGTTTTTTCTGATAATTTTATCTTCCATAGGTGAATATAATCCCTTTCGAAGTGGTCCATGTTTCTCAAATAATTTTTTCTCTTTCCTCGTTGGTGCATGTGATCCAGTAAGCTCTATTTTATGTTGCGGAGGCACTTTATGCGTTAGTTTTACAGATAGTTCGTGCAATTTCTGTATATTCAAGACAAAATCAATTCAATTAATATGGTCAAAATAAATCATATATAATATTTAAAATATATCAACTAACCTTTACGAAAGGTAATGGCAATTTTTCCCAATTTTGTATATTTTCCAATTCTTTTAAAACATGTTTCTCTTTTTCATTCAGCTTATATATATATTTTTGTTTCTCAAAAGGATTATTAACATTACTAATTTGTTTATCAGCACAAACTGATTTTACTGGTTCTACTGGTTTTGAATCCATAAGTGATGTATCAATGTCATTTTCTTCCAAATCGCTAATAAAAAGAGGATCTGTCGCTGGATCTTTTACATTTACTAGGCTATCGTCAATCCCCTGTATAATATTAATATCCATTAAAGACAAACTATCTGATGATATTTTAGTATCCTCAAAATATACTGCAGAATTATGTAACAAATTATTGACCTCAAATTCGTTAAAATTTTCCATACTGTTTAATTCTGATTTAAATATATCATCATCACTACTAATTATTAACAGAAAGTAGAAAATGCACCGGCCACGCTACGCATGCACATACGTAAATAGCAAGCTTGTGTGTGGTGTGTATGTGTGATAGATTTTCAGAGCTTGGTGTCTCGCTCATAGGCATGTACGCGCATGCGCACATCTTGAACAGTGCAGCAAATCTAAAAAGACGAAGTGAGACAGCCAGCCCTGTTCTCTCTCGGCTCGCGACAAGCAGCGACAGGTTAGTCAGTACACATTATTGTTAAAAAAAACGGTCTTATTACAATTTAAATGGTGCGATTCGAATGAGAAATAGTATAAGACGCTTTGTTATTGAATTTAAAATATATTCGCGACAAGTCGCAAAATAATTTGCTATAATCAATATCGATCGACTTTATATTCGACGATTAAATACAATTTGAATTGAGAATGCGCAATGAAATAATCGAATCGCAAGAGTGAGTAACGGAAGAAAGAGGTCCATAATATATTAATTGTTTATTAAATAATTAATAATCTTAAAACTATTTAATAAATATAATTATCTAATTCAAATTATTTGTATAACTTGATATTTCGCGCGCATGCGTACATCTTGAACAGTGCAGCAAATCTAAAAAGACGAAGTGAGACAGCTAGCCCTGTTCTCTCTCGGCTCGCGACAAGCAGCGACAGGTTAGTCAGTACACATTATTGTTAAAATATCGGTCTTATTACAATTTAAATGGTGCGATTCGAACAATAGTATATATATGTGATTAGATCGAAATAGTATATATATGTGTGTCGTAGGAAGATATTTCAACGAATCTTTAACAACATAATGTTTGATCGTGAGATATAATATTCTATTGCTTTCATATTTCGACTTTGTCATTTTTATTCATTTGCACAGCGATATCGAGTAGTAAACTGGTACGAAACGCTTCGTATTATTGAATTCTTTTCCTAAACGCGATTGTGATAAATATCGAAATATAATTATAATAATTCGCTATATTATTACAATTAACAATTAATTAACTTTTAATAAACCTTTAATAAATAGCTAGTTTTTTAAAATCAACTACTTTGGATACTTTATAGAACAGATTCGTAAAATTATTAATTGATTATATATTTATTACTCATTATTATTGCACCTAGTTTGCGGTTGGTGTTTGTAAAAATTAATAAAAAAGACTGTAATATTTTTTAAAAAAGAAAATTCTTCCTAAATCCTTCATTTAATAATCAAGACATGAGAAACATTATGCACATTATTTTTAGAATCATTGGACACCAGTAGAGCAACTCTGTGATAATTTATTATTTATATATTAGTTTATTTATTAGTTGTGTACACCCGATTAAAATTAAGAAATTAATTGCATTATTTAATTTTTTTATTTACATGAGTTAAATAAGAAGAAAAGAGTTATAATTTTTATAAAAGTTTCTATTTCTATAGCTTTTAATAGTGTTATTAGAAAATTATTAATAGAGTTCTTTTTTTCAAAATTTATAAAATTGTTTCATAAATTTGCTTATTATTATACGCATTATCTACTTATTAATATACAATTCAATGCGTAAAATAATATTTTTTTTGAAATGTTAATTATTTTGAGGTTGATTATAATTAATTGTTTTAAAGTTGATATAATTTTTATAGATCAACGTAGTGATCCTGATAACGCGAGAGAAAGCCTGTCCAAAAAGGAGGTCCTAAAAGCAGGTCTAGGAGAGAAGATGTAGGAGAGACATCTTGTACCGAAACAGCTCTAGGGGTGAGTGTTTATTATTGTTTATTTATTATTTGTTTTTATTGTTAGAAATCGCATACGCGCATTAATTCGATTTTATGGTTTAAATGAATAATAAACTTATATAAATCATAGACACATGTAATGGGAAATTTGTGAGATATTTCATCTCGTAGTCTGGAAAAGTCTGTCGCTGCTCAGTAATATTGTTCTCGATAAACAGATTTGAATTTTGAATTTGAGAATTTAGACGAAATTTTGGCTACGAATAACGGTAAAAAATAATAAAATAAATGTTTTGAAATATTGAAAAAGTAAATTACAAAGAATATTATGACGTGAAGTATTGAATAGAAAAATGTATAACTTTGCAACTGCATAAAATATTTGCATAATGACGCTAGTTGATAACAATATTATTCAACCTATCGTCTTATTAAATGATCGCGCGGATTATTAAATAAAAGACCGTCCAAAATTGAAATCAGTATCGCGATTGTTTTTTCATCATTGAATATGTCGAGATGGAAATTATATTTGTTGAATTTCATGTAAAATCATGCACTTTGTGCAATATAATTTCGTGATATCAGTTGCAATTTTGAGCTTAATTATAAAATCAAATTTAGTACGCATATCTCAGTATCTTCAGTCATATCATCCTATTTATCTTTGAAAGAGATTGAAACCTTGAAAAGAGAATTAGAGAAGATTTGCAAAACAATTACAATAATATGCTGATTCAAGGATTAGTAGATATTACGATACTATCACGTTAATAATGAAGTAATGACAGGGAATAAGGTCATTTAGAGAGGCTCTCATAACGCGTGCGTGGACTTCATTGAATTAAATTGATAAGAATTGCCCTTAAAAAGGAGCGTGTTAAGATACGCGCGCGCTCGCTCACGACCTTATCCTTTAATTATAAAAAAAATGTCATTAGAAAAATGCGCGGGTTGCGCAAATTACGAGCGTCTGCGATCACCTCCGATGTGCATTATCTTCGGATTTGCATATCGCGTGCGTATACGCTTGTACGTGGAAAGGGACGCGTGAATACAGGCGCCGGGATGTTTGTATAAAGAATTACAGAGTAGAACGATTTCTTTTGTACTCCCTAATTGCTGGTGCTGAAAATTATTCTTTCCGCACGCGTTCTTGAAATTGCTGACAGCGGCCGGCAGTTTGATACAGCGAGGCGGTGTGTAACACATTTGATAATGGAAGTGTACATAATATCTTAGCAAAGAGAGTGTCCCTTTGTGAATTCATTTTCTGAAATAACAAATTTTCTGATAAATCTGTGATAATTTTTTTGAAAAATTAAAAATTAGAAAATTAGAAAACTTTTTTTGGAGTAATAAATCTTGCCAATTAAAAAAAAATATAATTTAAAAAGAGATTCATTTTTAATTAAATTAAACTTGAAGAAAGAAAAGATATATTTAATAAAAGTTTTTAAAAATATTTTTTTTACTCCAATCTAATATAATATTCATATATTTGATATATTTTTTATATATAAATTTTAGATTTTAGATTTAAAAGTTTAATTAGAAAAGAATCTATTTTTGATGTATTTAATAAAATTTTAAAAAATATTTTTATTATTAAGAAAATATTATTTTTATAATATTAATATAATAGTAATTTGATACATAATGATTAATTTTTATATAAATTAAAAATATATATATTACTTTAGATTTTCGCAAAGCAAAATAGTGCTTTTCCTATAAATTTGCAGACTTTATATAATGTTATCTTTTTTTATTTTCTCACGTAAATTTATTTTCCGTTCGAACGAGCGAGATTATCCGAACTTATACGTACGTTTGCTGCATTTCTTCGTTGCTTGCCGGATTGCCTGATAACTCCCCGTTCTACTTTCGGCAACTTCCATGAAAGTTCGTTGCCCGTTTCGATCGTTATTTATTCAAGTTTTGTTTGCGCTCTGTCTGAGACGTATTTGTATCCTGTACGAGGAACGATGGAGAGACTCGCAGGAATATAGAATACAAGGAAAAAAGCAGTTCATACAAGATATTTCAGCATTAGATTTATAATTACTACAATTTTTTAAATAGACTTTATTATAAGAATAAAAAAATTATTTCGTATAGAAAAAAATAAATATAATTGCTATCTACGGTAAAAAATTTTTCATGTTAAATGTACATTAAAAATGTAAATTCAAAAATGTATTTTACGTAATGTCAGGAGCACACAAGGAGAATAATATATGTCAGACATGATTTTTTAAACATTTACATGCACAACACAATTCCATTAGATTCTCCGCTAATTATCAATTGACAAATACAAAGCCATTGTCTAATCTTCTCCTTGGTCTCTCGTCCTCCCTCGAATGAACTGCGAGAGGACACACTCCGAGGCCCTCTTGACGGTCGATCGATCCGCTCTAGTCCAAGCACTTCAAATAGTGCGATCGTGGTATGCGTTCAGGAATGGCAATAACGTTGATAGGATAGTAATATGATTATCACCTGTGCAAGGGCCGATAGTGGTGCTACACGTATAATTAGAGACAGGATTGAAGGGGCGGAATGAGAGACGACGATGTGGCGGGAAGGGGGAGGGTGGAGAATGGGACAAGGGTACGCGCAAGTATAATGTCATGCAAATACAGCTCATCACTTGGTCCACCAGGAATGGAGTGCATTAATCCGCTAATGCACATGGGTCCCGTAAAATTAGATTCGGCCAGATTTAGTTGGAAATGCGATATTTCAGTGCCGACCGAATTCTCTCAACAACGTAACGAGACTGCCGGAAAGCGTAACGCGGTGCTTCTCTTGTAATGCGACGTGGCGTGAAACGTTGTTACTTGTCAGCCGAATTAATGGAGATATATCGCATCCTCGATCGTGATGGCGCACGGCGTTGCTCTTAAATCCGCTTGCTTCGTTCCGTGAGCGCTAAATAAAAAATGTTCGCGGATCGATGCTGCTAACATCGCGCTAACTGTTTACTGTGTCACATATTAACATTTATGCGAGTTAGCAATTATTATCGCGATTCTAAAATGTATGATTATATTATTGATACCCCTAAATATCTCGCCGCGAATTTCCGAGCTTAGCAAAATTTCTCGCAAACGAGTTTCTTGTCGTTCTAACAGATGGCTGCAGGATGATGCATTTTACCCTCGTCGAATTTAAATAATAATATCTCGTTAATTATTTTGTTAGAATGAAAAAAAATAATATTCCTTAATATTCCTTTTTATAGATTATTATTTTATGATAATTATTAATATTAATTTATTCGAAACTGTACGCGAGGAGTAACAAAGATATGTAATAAAAATATTGACATTAGAATTCATAGAATTCGTAGAATTATAGCCATGTCGTTAAATTGAAA